GTACCGTTGTAAAAGTGATATAAAAGATTTTTAATTGCATTAACTGAAATGTTTTTACGAAGGTTATAATTTTTTGAAAATTTCCTACAAACTCTGTAGTTTACTTTAAGCAAAGCTTCTTTAAATTAAGTCGAGATGTGACACAAGAATGGGATGATAAGAATTTTGAATAAAATCTCATGTGTAATTCTTTCTAATAGCATAACCCCTCACATTTTTCAATGTAAATATTACAAATTCCAATACTTGCACCATTATTCTCTATACAATAACCTTCTACAGTACAATTGTATTTATGAATAAATACAAAAACGTTATTTCCGAATTTGAAATCACTTTCACAAGTTTGTAACAAATGAGTAATTTTCAAAGTTGTTAGTTGATAACATTTCGGAAAATGAAAGTGAGTAGATCATTCTTAATTTTCAACAATAATATATGTTGTTTTTAAATATAAAAATTTTCAAACTCAATTTAATTCAGTTTTATTCGTATCGTACAATCTGACAGTAGCATTGGAAAACGTGGCAAGAGGACAATTATTTATAAAAATGTCCAGTCAAAACGGTTGCTACAACCACACTGAATAACAATAGTGGAACAATTTTCTACCGAAGATTATGTGATGTCATTCCGAGTATATCTAGATAATTAAAGTTTTCATTTTCATCATCAACAGTAGCGAATAATATAAAACACAACTAATAGCTTGGCAGATGTAACTGGAAACTTATTTCATCAACTTCTACACTTCTGGCCGCTAATGTAGGCTGACTACTGAGCTAATAATGATCCAAACAGTTAATTTTCACTTTCAGCAATATACTCTCAATTAACCAAGTTTTTTTCGTGATGTAGTGCGTATTTGTTTACAGTTCTATTCCACCATTCCCAATATCTAGAAATTGTATTGTTTTCGACGATGAATCAGTTTGCAATTGTTTGCAGATATTTTTGCACTGTTCTGTGCAATGCTTCGAGAATATTTGTGAGCCTATGCGTCCGCCTTGTTCAGTAGCAATAATCAGTACGATCCGTATATGTATATAAAAATTACTGTACTCTTGCAATAGCTATGTGTGCTTATTATTTTTTTTTAAGTAATAAAATATTCAACTGATTCTTACATGAATTTTGTACCCATGCTTATGATTTGAAATATAATTTTTGCATATTTTTAGTTGCGGTTTCGGTAAACCTTTCAAAACAAAGAATCTAATCACTGCGCGTTATTCCACTTTTTCCATATTAAAAAAATACTCTGACACGTCAACTTCAAAGGACTTGTAAACAGAGAATTAATTGACAAAATGACTTGCAACTTTGCATGTGTTCTCTCGACAGATGTACGAACTTGAGACAAAAAATTTGGCGCTAGTAGTGCCATTTTTTTTTTGGGACCAACCAATTTTTCCACCAACCGGTATATAAGATTACGAATCGTTTGTATGGGAGTATAGAAAAGTGTTGTTTTTAGACTTTTTCAGACAATTTACAAAATTTTCTTTACGTAAGAACCATTCTGATACTTCAACCAATATTTAAAAAAAAAAAATTGCGAAATCGGTTCCACTGTTCTCGAGATTTGACCTTAGCATCAAATTCAGTGATTCATTTTTATATTATAGATAGTATATTCGGTCAAGGGATGCTATGGTTATGATATACATTAAATGCTTTTAAATATACAATAAAATATTTAATACAGTGAAAGTATTATTTACGCATAAAGGCGAAAACATAATGGCCGGTATAAGAATTTCTGGGAGTGCGCTTGAGGTTTAATCTAGAAAATTATTCATATAAATATTTGTTTATGGAAAAAATAATTAATTTTTCATTTGTCATTTTACTGAAATTTTTATTTAATTTTTGTTTTTTATTTGAAAACAAGTTCATGTTTAGAAATATATGTATTTTTTTTTATAAAAGTTTTATTTTATTTTTTTTTTTTTTGATTTGAAAAATCATGCTTATGTTTAAATATATTCAAGTATATCAATTTGTTTTTATGAATTGTTTTTAATTTTTAAAATTTGAGATTTAAAATATATAATACAACCATTTGTGTTGGATCAACCTGGACACAGTGTGCTAAATTTTACTAAAACCTGTTCAGTAGTTTAGGAGGTAGCCCCGGAAAAAACGTGATACGTAATTTTTATATATGTATGTAAATATATAGATATAATTATGAATTTTTTCAATAGTTTTTAACATTAAACTCTGGTTTATCATCTTTGGTAAACTTAGTTCATTATACCCTGAACAAATTAAGTGTATATTAAGTTTGCCACGAAGTTTGTAACACCAAGAAGGAAACGTCGGAGCCCTATAAAATATATACATAATTGATCAACATGATGAGCTGAGTCCGTCCGTTCGTTTGTCCGTCTGTATATATGCAAACTAGTCCCTCAGTTTTTAAGCTATCGATCTGAAATTTTGCACCTGTCCTTTTCTCACTAAGAAGCTGCTCATTTGTCGGAACGGCCGATATCGATCGGAATAAAGTGCTTGTATGGAAAACTCTTTCATTTGACGAGGTATCCTCACGAAATTTGGCATAGATTATTATTTAAGGCAATAGTGTAATCTCCGAAGAAATTGTACAGATCGGATTACTGTAACATATAGCTGCCATATTAACTGAACGATCGGAGTTAAGTGCCTGCATGGAAAACTCTTTTATTTGACGAGACATCTTCACGAAATTTGATCGGAATCAAGTTATTGTAAGGAACCTTTGTATTTGTGTAGGGTATTATAGCTTCGGTGCAACCGAAGTTAACGTTTTTTCTTGTTTTTAACACTTTTCAGCCAAATTTCTCTATTGAAAAATTAAATGTAATCCAGATATGTTTCTTTCAGTGTAATCAATAACCATCGAATTAGATTTTCTGACGTCACAAACAGATTTTGTTTACAAACTAAAGCCCTAAGAACACTAAAAATAAAACCGCTTTAAAAAAGTATTTTTATGTGCATATATGTATGTATGTATCTATAAAAAACAAAGTACCTATAGCATATATATGTAACAACAATTACAAAAACATAATAAAAATAAAAAAATCAACGCACAAGCAATAAAAATAGTTAATACGAATTACAAATTGCTCAGTTGAACTTGACTTCGCCATAACGAAATTGATAACGAATGATTGCCGAATATGTGGAAGAACGTGCCTCCCCACAGATTATGTGGCAGATAGTTTTACTCCCACGTGATATCATCGACTGCAGACAGATATACAGTAGGGTTCAGATAAGTGTTTACTACAATACTATAGTGCACATATATTCAAAAAGCCCTTCAAACTTATTTTGCCTAGTTAGCCGTGACGACTGAAGTAGTAAATTAGTTTTGAACTAAGTATTTTTGAAGAAACCGACCCTAAAGCTTTATTCTGTTATTTTGTGGGTGTTCATGATCGACACGTACATTTTCTGCAATGGTGGTGAATGTAGAGCTTACCACGAGCCCCTTCCGCACATATTTAACTAAAAAGTACGTTTTGTCCAGTTAGCCCCGCCCTCTAGTACGTTTAATGTATGTACATATTTCACACACCTCGAAAGCTACAATATATCAACCAAATTTACTGAAAACATATATTTTTGATACTTCCTTCGACAATGTTAAACTGAGTGCAATCCACGTGTAACCACGACCACTCCCCGTATAAGGGTTATGTTGAAAACTACTAAAAGTGCGACAACACAAAAAATTAATGCGTCGAAATCAATAAATTTGACTACACGAAATGGAACAAAAGCGTTTTATAGGTGTCGGTAAAAAAATATTTGACAATGGGCGTGGCAGCGGCACTACATGTGCACTCAATGCTGCAAATTATCGGTTTTTTAGAAATATTAGAGGTGGTAAAATCAACAATAGAAAATTTTGACAAGTATGCCGATATTAACTTACTATTCTTTGAAAGCCGTCTTCGGAGCAGATCTTTTTTACTTATGAGTGATATTTTTATCTTCGAAATAACTGTGGATTGACATAGCTTTCTGAAGTAGGCCGGTTTTTAAAAAAATTAATGAATATTAAAGCACCTCATCAGCAGATTCCAAAAATATATTACAAGTGGGTTCTGACTACCGTTCTTTAGTATTTATGAGCATATATTCCACATATACATAACATACACATTCAACCCCACTAAGTGTGCGCCATTTATTGGCACTATCATTCAGTACAATTTCATTCATTCATTCATTCATTGCCTCCTTTACTGGGTGACGGTCAATGAGCTGGGGAAATGTATGATGTGTGTGCGAATGCGCGAATGAAGCATAAGAACCAACCGATCCGCATAGCTTTCAAGATAGCTCAGCTGTTGCTCTTACTGATTAGCATGTGTTGTTGTTGAATGTTGTTGTTGACACTGAACTGACGCTTAATCGCTATGCTATGTTGCTGCATACTTTTATAGGCAACAATTTACACTACAACAATGTAACAGCAATCCAGCTGTGTGACAACATATGTGGGTGTCGAGGTGGATGATACTTTTACTCTTGAATTGCCAATCTCGGATTATCGCTGTCATTGCTGGAGAGGGTGAATTTAAAGCCGGATTAGCGTGCATAAATATTCGCATTGTTGGGGAAATTTCGTAGACGATTTGAATTATCCGCTTTAGTTGCATTTGTGAAACGGTTCGGAACGGTTCGAAAGCCGAAACAAAAACGCTCGCTATTTTGTGTTCATATGGCAATTTTCATGGTGGAATAATTAAGATTTCTGAACTTATTTTTGGGTGTAATTAAAAACAAAACATAATTCAATAAAACAAAACTGCCGCTTTAAAAAATAAGAAATTAATTTGAAATGCAAAAAATTTCTTGGTTATGGCTCATAATCGGATTGGCCATGCTTTTCGTTATCGAATGTGCAGAAATATGTAAGAAAAAAAGTAAATTAACAAAATTGATACGAAATAGTAGTCAATTTAGAAAGTGTATTAGTAAATGTTCACATTTATGAAATAAATATTAATATACAAGACGATCTGATCAAATCTAACCAGGACTCTAAAAAAACATACATCTTCACGTATTTTAATACAAACCTTTAATATCGCCTACAAAATAAGCTCCTAACTTAATACAATACAAGCATACCAATTCTTAATCCCATTTTCCATACACTTGTTATAAGACTCGGCTTGAATGGACTGCAGTGTCTTCAACGAATTATGAATTTTTCGGTTTTAACGGTTAGAGCCCCATTCGCTAGCTTACGACGATAATCAAACAATGTTTCTTTAATTTTTTCGATGTTATCGTCATTGAGAGAGGGGATAAACGACTCGCATGAAGCAAGTTTTCGATGGCTTCACGATCTTCACTGCATGCTTTGTACCACTCAAATATTTGTGTTCGTGATGTAGTAGACTCTCCAAATTACTTCTGCAACATTTTCATTGATTCCGTAGCAGTGATTCACAAAATTTCAAGCAAATTCATTACCCAATTTTTTTTATTAGTAAAAAACGCAAGACAAACTTCTCGTTTCGCAAACAAATAGCTGTCAAAAACACAGCTATTGACTTCTGAATCTATCTAGGAAGACATTTATCGTTTCGATTTGCGCGCGCAATTTAAATGAACCAGTCCGGGTCAGTCTATAAGCTCAACCCGAAGAAAAAATTTAAATATACCTCATACAAAGTTCAAGTACTTTGTCTGAATTAAAAAGAAGTGAAAGTGTAATTTTTCCTCTGGAGAACGTATGTATATAACTACATATATGCACATATAGACCCAAACAAAAATTCAGACACAATAATGACCTTGTGTAAGCAAAAAATGCTGTTGATTGCAGTAAGCTTTACCAATTGAGCTCCGCTTTTACTACAGAATAAATTGTTTGATAAAGTGGTACTATTGTATCTTGTGTGTACATATTTGTGTTTATATAGGTCAAGTACCGTGTCGGTATATACTATATTTATATATATTTCGAAAGGCAATTGAGATGGATTGCATATTAAAATTTTAGATATATTTGCTTGTCAAAAAAAAAACGAATTCATAAATATTCTTTAAACCACTGAAACAAATTCAGAGCTAAAATCAGCAAACGAGAGCCAAAAATGTTTGGAAATGCAATTTCCAGCCACTAATATTATTCACTAGTCCGTCTTAAAAAAGGATGCTGTTTCTGTTGTTGCGGTGGCAAAAAACATTCCTGAAATATTTTTAAATGCTGCCGAGTTGACAGTTTTTGGGCGGATAATAATCCGGGTCCGTTCCGGTTATGTAGGCAGGACTGTCGTGGAATGTGCTAAAAAAATTTGTATATTTCTATGGTTTGAAATGAAAAATCGAATAACTCGAATACCGTCATTAAACAAATTATTGATGAATCCTTCATTTTTTGTTTTGTTTTTTGAGAAAAACGTATACGTTGTGTTCGAAATAAAATGCCATTAAAGATCTGAAGATATAACCTTTTCTATGATAACCTAATATGGTAAGTGAGTTACCCTGTACATATTAATTGCTGACTACATTAATGTTTTAGTCTTGACTTCCCCGGTATCAAATACGAACCATAAACATTTATCCTGAGTTGCATATATTTTAGTTGAGACGTATGATGTAACTTATTCTATACAGTTAACAGATAACACCCATTTATTTACTCTTACTATGTTTTTATAGAGAATAGGCATACTAATTATAGCTGTCATGTTAAGTTTGTATCACTTAGAACACCCATATCGGAAACGTCGTTCGGATCCGATCAACTCATCAAGCATTGACATTTTATTGATAAATAGAATACAAGAACAGAAACAAAGATAAGGAGAGAGAAATAAATCTATGTTCATCTATATATATATTATATACAATATATATATGTATATATATATATAAATCTACGGATTTGTATATAAATTTAAGAATTGAATTTGTATATTTGTCAGTAGCTTTTATTAATATTTTACTCAATTTACCTTAAAGCTTATGACACGTTACGTAACAAAATTATCGATGCCGAACGCTCGGCCGCAGTGGGTGGCAATATTTGGTTGACATCGGCGGAGGATAAAGCAAACAGCATATTAATGAATGCCAAACGATCCGAGGTGATTGCTCCAATAATATTAAATAATGATATAAATAATAAACTAAATCCAACAGATGGCGGAAGGCGTTAAAACCCCCGAGAAATTTCCACCCGCCATGCATTTCTTTCAAGGCAAACAATATCTGCGACAAAGTGAAGTTTTTCGTATTATACAAAAACTGCCCAAGGGCGCGTTACTGCATGGTCACAATACGGGTATGGTCAGTTCACGCTGGATCATCACCAATTTGACCACGCTGTATAATTTGTATACCTGCCGAGATGTGAATGGTCTACTAATGTTCACCTATGAGCAAAGCAAATGTCACAGTGAAGTGCAAAACGTTTGCTTAGAGCGCATTAATGCTGAGGATCGGCGACTTTACGAGCGGCAACTGGAGAAGCATATCAATATGTATACAGTACATCCAGAATGTAAGTTAATATTAATATATGGGTTATTTATAATAATAAACATATATGTATATATTATAATAATAATACAAATAATAACTTTTTTCCAAATGTCAGCTGTTTTTGACGTTTATAAAATTTTAAAATTTGACAACTTATTCATCAACAAAGGTTATTGTTTGCCTCTCTCAAGAAACCACTTCTATTCGTCACTTCTCTGCTTGCTGTGTTCAATTTCTGCTCTATTGTTAGAAATACAAGAGAGCATGGCGAATAGAACTTAAGTATAACCTAATGTCACATAAAAATTATAACCAGACTCTATACGACATATATTGATTAGATTCTAACAATTTGGGTCTTGTATGCTTGTAAAATCTTCTAAATGTTTACAAAACAATTTTACAGCCATGATTACCGATAAACGCAAGATATGGCAACGCTTCTATAATATTTTCAAAAGTGTGGAAAATTTTTACAGTTATCAACCGGCCTTCTGTAACTATCACAAACGTTTACTGGAAGAATTATGCGAGGATAATATATTTTATGCTGAACTGAGGTCACCACTGACGCCGGTAAGTTCAAAGAGATTGGGAAAATATACAGTACATCGCATTTGAATTGGAATTACTATGATTTTTATTTGAACTCAAACTTTTTACTATTCTTCTTATGAATGCTTTAAAAAATATCTGTAGATCAATAATATTAATAAATATTAATTTTCATTTTCTCTTTACTTTTAAATTAATAGCTATATGGCGATAACAATCGCACATTAAATGCCCTGGATGTAGCAAACGAATTGGAAGCTATCGTTGAGGGTTTCAAAGCACGTCATCCAGACTTTGTGGGACTCAAGGTGATCTATACGAAACCAAATCAAGGCACAGTGGATGAAATGGCACAACATTTGATAACCTTTAAACAATTGCAGTTAGTAAATATTTGTCGTACAATTTTTTTATAGAAATTTTAAATTAATTATATTCATCGCCTTTTGCCCAACTAGTGATGCCAAGCCAAAATTCATTATTGGCTTTGATTTGGTGGGACAAGAAGACACCGGTGATTCGCTTCATAAATTTGTCAATGAATTGACCGACATGCCACCCACTGCCAACTTTTTCTTTCACGCTGGTGAAACTAGTGAGTATATAAATGCGTACTAAATGTTGCACTAATGCGAACAAGAAGACTATGTACGGTCTTAAATCAAATCTGCATAATTCCACTTATCTTTCTTTATCGCTGGAGGTTGCCTACATCTCTGGAATACCCCTAGTTAGAACCTTGTTAGATATCGTTTATAATGATTTACATGGTCGTTAATTAGGGTTCTACTTGTATAGTTAGATAAACAGAAGATTGTTAACTAATATGCATTTTGTTTAATTTCACGTACAATAGTACCTTATGAGGAGTACGACCTTAGTAACTGAAAAATAACCTATAGGCCCATAGTTTTTTGACCATATTACGAACTTTAGCCTTTATAATAAGTAGCTATAAAATACATATTTTATATGAAGCTTCATATGAATGTCCAAAATGGTTTTTCCAACTCAAGACACTGCTCCGCGGAGTGTTATAACCTCTACAAAGAGATTTATTTAGGTATGCATTGTTATTCATTTAAGCTGCTTACTTCGAAATGATCTTACTTCACAAAATTCAAAATTTTTAATAGTGCACACAGTGCTTATATGCAAGTTATAAAAAATTATTTCATAAAAAAAAGACAAAAAACATCAAATAAGTTATATGATAGAGAAACCCGGTTAAACAAATCATCTATACATATATAATGAGAGAATTTTTTCAAACCATCGTTTTCTTATTTTCATCAGATTGGTTTGGAAAGACCGATTGGAATCTCATGGACGCTTTGCTGCTCAACACAAAACGTATCGGTCACGGTTATGCACTGCCGAAACATCCAAATATTTGGTCCACAGTCAAGAAACGTAACATTGCCATCGAAATTAGTCCGATTGCTAATCAAGTAATGGGTCTCGTGTGGGATTTACGCAATCACCCCGCTACATTTCTTATAGCCGAAAACTTTCCGATTGTCATAACTGCCGATTATTCGGGCATTTGGAATTCGAAGGGATTGAGTTACGATTTCTATTATGCATTTATGGCGCTGGCGCCAGCTGAAGCAGATTTGCGGTTTCTCAAGCAACTCGCCTTGAATTCGATCAAGTCTGACAAATTGCGATTTAAATTAATTTATTTACGAAGAAATAATGTTTATATATTTTTACAGGTACTCCATTTTATCTTCGGAAGAACGTCGTAAAATTAATCGCGTTTTCCAAAAGAAATGGGAGGAGTTCATTTATAATGTGATCAATTTGAGATTCTAAAAGTAACGTTTTTATTAATTAAGTCATATTTATCAAATCAGTATTACTACTAAGATTAATGCTTAACAGTGTAATAAATTTCTAACAATTTTACTAAAATACTAAGCAGTGAGTATTTGCTTTCATTGTGGCATCTTTGGTTACACAACGCCGGGCGCAAACCAGCCGTGCAGGCACTTCGGCACTGGTCCATTCGTATGAAAGTCGCAACGGCCCAGCTCAGTCCAGGTTTTGGCACACAGCACCAGCAAACCGACGCGATTATCACTTAATCCACCCCAGACCATTGAGGCCAACACCACACCATCATCTTCTGCGCAGGCATCTGGCGCGGGCACGAAGACTGGTTCGCTGGGATAACAATTCGGTTCACACCATTTCTGCACTGCTTTTGCCATAACATCCACTTTAACGAGCTGTAAATACAATAATTCAATTGTGAATTAATAATAATTAAATGTGTGCTCTTCGCAAATATTACGCACTGTGCCGGGGTTCTCAGCATCTACATCCGAGCTAATCGCGTAGAAGTAACGATATTTTTTGGCTGAAAAAAATTAATCAGCAAATCAGTGAATCGAAATTACAAACACATCCGACATTTACCTAAACATTTTTCATAATTGATGCGCGGCGTCTCACAGCCCCAATCACAAAGCAATTCGGGGCGCACCATTATGCTGCGATTGCTTAGCTGATACGCTTGCGCCGTGCTATATTCCAAAGTGACCAAATTCACCATTGTTTCACTATCCACATTCGCTTTCGAATCATCCGCTTCACCCGCAAATGTACGGCACTCGAGCATTTCTTCTTCTTGCAATTTATTAAGCGCCATATTTGTAATATTCTCATAATTCGACTCGGAATGCTTCATTTTCGTCGGTTGCAGATGCGTACTAATGCCGGACATTGTAAAAGATTTCACCACACGCCGCTGATTGGTTGGGCGATCTTTGAACGTCACCACGTCCGCGTTCTTAACACCCAGAGGCAGCACAAAACGCAATGGACGTCCACGAAAATGTGACGCATAATTCGGATTCGATTGCATATTCATAATGGACTCCAAATACATGCAGTTAATCATTTCGGGATCTTTATAGCAGCAAATGTCGATCACTACATGATTATCCTCCTCATACTGATTGATTATGTGTAAATAAAAGAATGCCTCCGACTGGAAAGTGTAGCGTAATTTACCCGTCTCGCGATCAAGTAGATGGAACAGTGTGGGCTTGTCCTCGAACCATTTTAGGCAGGCGGCAAGCTGTTGATTAGATAAGTTGGCTTTAACAAATTCCGTTAACGAAACGGAGAGTGGTTGCTCAACAATTACGAAGAAATGCTCGGTAATACCTGTAATGTGAAAGTGTTTAGTTCTGTATTTTAACCGTTATTCCTATTGTGTGCCTACCAAACGTATGCATATAGCCAGGATGTAATTTCCAACGACAAGAAACCGAACCCACAACGTAGGCATCTTCAAACATTTGCTCCCCATGCGGAAAACAAATAATATTATAGACTGGTCCTGATTTGGTAGCGGCCGTACCTAGATTGTACACAGTTCCATTAGGCAGTACGTGAGGATGTGACGTATGATTCACGATACCGACAAAATCTGCAACACAGATGCGTCCTTCCGTGGCCAAGGTGCGTGGATTAATTCTATAAATTATATTTGTATTAAACTGGAGTCATATCTCAAATTTCAATTAGTTGCATTTGATTTACCTATGCACCATCGGAGTCTCTGCAAATGTGTAGTACTCATCCCCAAATGGGTAAATAGATATCATTGAGTTATCAGAGCCGCTATCAGGACGAAATATCGCGGAGACTCTAAGAAATATAGAAAGCTTTCAAATTAAAAATCATTCTCCCGTCGCTGTTTATCGGCTTGAGGCTTTGAACTGAATACTAAAAAACGTTAACTCACCTATCGAATATCGAATGGCAAGGATCCGGTACCGATGCCGTACCAAACTCCGTTACGACTATACGTTGTGCAGCACGATTTTTCTTCAGTGTTTCTGTCTCAACAAAACGATTTTGATATGTAACGCGTCCGTTTTTTATTGCGAATCGATGCACTAAAGCCGAACAATCGAATAAATGCTGAAACATCATTTCACCCATCTTCCAACTACCGGGACCATTGCGCAGTAAGCTGCCATTCAACCAAGTGGGAATATGTCCGCTGGTATGGCCTTCAATGGGTTCGGTGATTTCCTGCTCACACGAACGCAACCACACATCTGAAGCACAATTTGGATAACAGCGTCCGCCGCCATCGATGCGTACCGATTCGGGATCGTGTTGCTTCGGATTATATCTGATCTGTTGGCGTGAAATAAAGCATTTGTATTTTTTTTTTTCAGTATAAAGGTTTAATGATCTTAGATAATAAGTTGAAAAACGAGAAAAATTAAATTCATGAACTAAGTATTCTCCATTTTTTCTCTGAAATACTAGTAGAGCTGGGTTAAAACGGTAGTACTCTTGCTAATTACGATAAAATTAATTGTGTACAAGAAAATGGAGGAGCCCGTCAAACCATCAAATGAAAGTGGTAAATAACTTTCAATACTTTATAGAAATGTTGTGAAAACCGTTGACGTTCTGCTTTTCGTTCGCCGATTTTAATAATCGTTAACTATCCGAAATCGATCAAACCCATCGACTGATTATGAGATCGGCTCAATTGGCTTTGAATTAGCGACCACCACGAACTTCTTGTTTAGTGCAGAAACTAGAAAAGCTTATGATTAGATATTGAAGAAAGTTAGACTATTCTCCACTACACAGATCTCTGGGATCATTCTTGGACAATTGAACCACTGACCATTTCTAATACCATACAAACTACTAAATATGGATAAAACTCTCTTATGTGTTGCCGAAGCGCTTTAAATACTTTAGGCGACTTTATAAGAGGTACAGAGATATCAAAGAAACAAAAATATTTCACTTAGTCAAGATTGTCTCGAAATATAGTATAATCACTAAAAATTAAACAATACTAAAAATTCTCCAGAACCATGCATTTAATTCCAGCAAAACCGTTGTTTAAACACTATTTTATGTAGATCGCAAACACTGTGCCCATAAAAGTTTCGAATAACTTGTTTGCTGGTGGAAACAGAGGAAGGAGTGAGCATCCTCTATACATATGAGAGGAATGTAGACTCACTTGACTTTCGAATTTCGATTTTGTAGACCCGACCAAAGCAACACATATTTTATATTATTATTATATTCTCTTCTGTTTCTGATTCAATGCATAACCAACCAATCGTTTGAATCTTCCTTTTCACACAGTATAAGAAATTTAAGATTCTTTATTATATAATATATTGTATTATCACTCCTTCATCACCTTTGGCAAAAACCAAGCTTGTATGCGAAGACAAATATCTCTCACAATGCAAACGATAGAAAGCAAATACATTTGGTATTCAAGCAATTCTAAAAATTTTCAACACAAAATTTTACACAACAACATGATTCAATTATAAACAAAGCCCACAACTGTCTCCGAAAATGTCAAATAAAGCACTGCTACTCATCGCTGCAGTTGAGGACCACTGCACTGTAGAGTACATAGGTATGTATGTAATATCTCGAAAGCGCGTAAAATCATGTCAAAGCCGGATAATTTGCGCTTGGCTAGATGAGCACTCAAGCGATTTAAGCCACGGCTAAGACAAATTGTATACAACTGAAACGTTAATTCCTTAAGCTTTTATGGTTAGTATTAGTCGGTATGCACATTTATAATATATACATATATGTAGATATATGTGTATATATGTATTTGTATGTTCAGCGAAATGTGCTTTCAAGTGCGCGTAGTTTGGTGATGTAAAAAGCTTTCGCAAGTTTTGCTTTGAAGGACAACACAACGTAAACACTGTTTACCCGACAAGGATATACTATATACACATATAATGTAAGAAGGTTTCTTGTTGGTATATATTTTTGTTCTTATATATGCATACGTGCGAATTCACGAGTGTTTGTTGTAAAACATCAATGCCCTGTGCCTGTATTGATCGTCCTTGCTCTTGACAGTGCGCGAACTTGGCATTGAGGCGAAAGCTGCGACGACGCTTTTTGTTTATGAGCATCTGTAAGTGTTAGTGTGTGTATTTGCACATACAAACATAAAACTGTATATTTTATCGGAATATACTAACAAAAATATTTGTTGCTCAGTGAAGTAAATGAATTTAATGATTTTAATAATTACTTTTATATACATATATTCAGTGTTGCAAAAAATTAATTAAAAATACAATTTATTTAACATTGGAATTAAAAAAAAAAATTTTTGTAATAGCAGAAAACTTAATTAATAATAATTTTCAAATTTGTAATCCCAAATACCAAATTTCAAATTTCAAAATTAAAAATAAAAGTTTAATTCCAAAATCGGATAAAAATTTAAATTTGAACAAAATGTTAATCTCAAGTTTATAATTGAAAAACAAAATTAAAACTAAAAATTTAAAATTTATTTTTTAATAAAAAAATTGTTAATTAAAAAATTGCAGTTCTATATATTATATGTAAACAAATAGGCTTAGATTTATATGTACACGAAAGGCTCTAGTAGCACTCACGGAAATCTGTGCTAATTATCTATCTTTCTGATGATACTTGATTACTGAAAACAAAAAAAAGGAAAGAAGAAAAAACCGAAAACAACATTCTTGGGCCTACGCTCCAACCGGACTTAAAGAAAATAAATACTATATATTCGGATCAGTCATCAGATTTTTAAGCGTAAAGTATCATAATAATTAATGAAATTGTTCTTAAGCCTACTAAATTTTCTTCATTTCCGCTTTAATATAGAACCCAGAGTTGAATGAAGGCGTCGCTAGACTAAACATTAAATGCCAACAGTGGACTATGTTGAGTTATACAAAAGCTTATAAAAACAATATATTTATTTCAAAATTTCACCAAATTATGTAGTGCATTCACTTTAAGTTTTGAAAATTAAATTTATGTTGTCAACCAAGCATATACCATTTGACCTACTATTGTACAAACGACAGGGCGTATGAGTAACATTTATGTATGCTGAAGCACCATTTACCACTTATAACTCACTAAAGTGATTTAATCGTTTTCTTTTTTTATATTTTCACTAAAGTTGCAAACATTATTGAATAATTCACTAGAATTATTAAAGCTCTTTTTGTTCCAAATGACACTATTCGGTTGACTGTATAGCTTGGAATCATTGATAAAGTTAAATACATTTGAATTTATTAAGATCGTTTTAGGTTAAACACCGTTCCATAATAATTGAGTCACAACAGCCAGGAGAGCATTTACCGAAAAAATATTTTCCAGTTAAGGAATATAAAGAATTCTCATCTCCAAGTGGAAAAGATAGTACAGCTATCCGTAAAATATGTGTTAATGAATAATATTCAGTTGATATTGATATCGGCATTATTTAATGGTAAACAATTAGACCCAGGAAGAAAAAATAACAATTTTAGATAAGTAATCACTATGGCTTAGAGTTTTTATCGCAATAATATTAAGCTAAGAATTTTCTGTATCTTTTTTTATTGGAACAAGCCATGAAAAGTGCTACAGAAGTTCTTCAATATTATATGTATCTTAAGGGGGAATAATAGCCGCCTAGCTTAGAGCTCGTCCTCACGTGATTTTACCACTTTTATTTAGATAATTGTAACATAATAACTTATAAATAAAGTGAAAATGAGACTTAACTTAGCGTTCCATGAATTATGTAACCGGAACAGCGTAAGACCTGCTAAGGAATGATCGCTTAGGTGCATTTTCAAAAAAAATGTTTAATATTAATATTTCATGCCCATCATCCATTTTAATGGAGAGATATACAATATTTCATTTCCCCTCAGAAAGGTTATTTATTCACTATAAGCTATCAAACATGTTAGCTGTTATCAAGAGTATGCGTTTCGGGTCACCTTTATGCGACTCTAAAAGCACTTACAGAGTTTTTTTTTCAGATTTCGAATGCGTTTATCAATAATAGACTTTGATTCATATCCTTATCGAAATTTTGCTTTTAATCTTCTTAACAAGGAAAATTTTATAATTAACCCATTTGTTCAAATATTTTACTAAAAGCAATGCAAGTAATTTATTCTCATAATTCCAACGTAGCATAATTTCTGTTGGGAATATTGAAGTGAACCCCTAAAAGTGCCCACGGTTCTTATACTCGATAATTTCCATATGTATGCGTACTATATATGTGGCTTCCCGTTACGGTTCAAATGTACTAATTTATATATTTTTGTACAGTCCATATTAAAAGGTATGGTTCACATTAAAGTCAAAAATGTGACCATAAAACATGTTTCCAAAACTTTTGTAAGAATCGCTTGAGTTTTTCAGGTTTTTTAAAATAAAATAAACATTACTTTTTATATTATAACAATTCTATTACATTTAAGTCCATAGATTCTATAAATGAACAAATCGTTCACATTGAATTTCACCGAAATAAATTTATTTTCAACATGATCCACAGCAACTTCAAAACACACGACATTTTTTTTTTTGTTTAGAAAACAAAATTTTCGACGCAATTCATTTCCTAAGGAAATTTTTGGTTTCACGGCTTCTAAATTGAATGCAAAATTTTTTTTATCAAAATTTACCAAATTCATAAAATATTGCGCAATTTGGCAATAAAAATTCAAAATTAAAACAAAACTGTAACAAACCGCAAAAAAGTCGCGTATAAAGGACTTTATAACGCCTTCGGCCATAATAGTTCTGCTTTATTGATTGACGTAAAGTATACAGGAACAGGAATAACAACACCAACACAGCAAGGACGAAAATAGCACAGCTAACGTGAACCGCAAACAAAAACAAGTACGCCTCAAGGTAATTATGAATTATGAATGACGGAAAGCGCTTGCTGGAAGTCAATTCCTAGACGAAGCGTTACGCTCGAAATAAAAGCGACAACTAATAGAATTGTAACTGCTTTCCGACTCGAATGGTCATAAATAACAGACACAAAGTATCGGCAGTACTTAGCTGCCGCGAAGCCGGTCAGCGGCAAGCGTAGATTTGTAGAAGCATGTGTGCGCAAATAATATCTTAAGTAGTGCGCAACGTTAATATGCATACATACATACATTTATATATATTTACATACATATATAAAAATGTTTATAAAGGTGTATAAGCGGTAGCGTTTGCATTTGCCGTGCAGCATAAACAAAAATACACAGCTGCGACCGCAAAGCACCCCTGGCGGCCCCCAAAAATACACACAAATACACAAAAAAAAGTACTTATATTATTACAACGTTCGCTATTTATTTTGTAATTTATGATTGTTGCAAACGGTGTGGTGAATGCCCGTCTTGTTTCCGAAATTTCGCTCCAAAGCTCTTAATCAGCCATAATAGTGGCTGCAATTTGTGTCAATCAAAGCAGGAAGAACATTGACCGTGATTACTTGCTAAAATTATGGAAGTAAATTGTGACAAAAGCCGCACTTTGCTTGATTGTGTGGTTTTGTCAGGTTGCTTGTGTTGCTGTAATTTCAATGCGATACGCGGCATGCTTCAAGTCTTATTTACCGCTAATCTTTTATTAATGCACAAAAGCCCTTATAAATTTGGTTGCCTTTTTAGTTTGTTAATTGCATTTTAAAAGTTGTTTGAACCAAAAAATTAACATTTATATATACCATATTTACATGTATATAAACATATATATTTAGTATATGAATCCGCGTTCGCAGTTTTTAGTATGAAAGAAAAGAGCTCGAAAGAAGCTTAAGTGGTTTCTCTGCAAGTACTTACGGTTGTATATATGTTTATATATATTTATGAGGCTTAAAGCGATTAAACATACGAAAGCCTAAAAATATTCGTAATAGTAATGGTTTTTATTTGAAAATAAATAATTTTTTTTATTTAATGATTTAATGCCATCTGATTAACCCATTTAACCGGACTGACAATCAAATTTTCATAAGCCTCGGCGGGATGGTTCTTAGTGCATTAAGCGAATTTTGTTCTTTTTTCGGTTTCGGATCATTTTTGAAGCACCATGAACTAAATTGTTGGACATTTTCGATGTCATATTCATAAATCAACGCCTCGTCATCAGTAACAATGCGTTTGTTGAATATGGTGTCTGGAACTACGTTGTAAAGCATCTTTTTTGCGACCTCTACTCGACGTCGTTTTTGCAAAGAATTCAAAAAATTAACTAAAATAGTTGAGTCGATTCATAACAATTTTTGAGATCCTCTGCTATCTCTCTGATGTCTCTCTGATGTTTTCAAGCACAGAGGGGATGAACGACTCGCATGAAGCTAGTTTTCGACGACTTAACGATCTTCGCTGCATGCTTTGTGCCACTCACAATACTTGTGTTCGTGATAACATAGACTCCCCAAATTACTTCTGAAATATTTTCAACGGTACTGTAGCTGTAATTCTATTGGAAACATGCAATTTCAAGCAAACATCTTGTTAAATTTTTGTTTTGATGCTAAAAATCGCCAAAAAAAACTTTTCGCGTCATAAACAAACAGCTACCAAATACAAACTGCTTGACATTTGGAGACCAAGCTTCACACGAACATAAAAAATAGGTTGTACTAATCTAGGCAAAACGATTTATCGATTCGGTTTGCCCGCGCAATTTAAATGAACCAGTCCGTGTCAAATTTGATCAAATGATATAAATTTAGTTTCTTAGATGTAAAGTAAATATTAAACTCAAAGATAATATGCGCTAAAAAATGCATTAAATATTGTATTTTAGTAATAATTTTTGGACTCTTAATTAATTTTTTTTTACCTTTTTTTATTATTTCCTGAATAATTATGAATTATTATAAATGTAAAATTTAATCTAGTTTACAAAAAAAAAATTAAAAATATTAGACTGTATTTTATTTCTCTAAATCCATATTTTTTATTGATATAAACCTTTATTATTTTTTTAAAATTCAATTTATTTAAAGTATGCAAGCGCCTAATTATATGCAAAAAATATTAATTTACCAACTTGAAAAAAATTAGTTGCCATCCTATCCGCAAATGCTTTCGAAATTTATAAAGCCTACTAACAATTTTTAATACGTGTATGCTTGCGTCGCATTTACAAAGCGTAAATATTGCAAAGCAAAGAAACTCTATACCTTCAGTTAGCTGACGGCCAGTGTAACGACGTAGGTAGTGTCTTACCCATATGACCTTGACACTATTCTAAAGTTCTTAAGTCATACTGTGTTGTAAGTGTGCGCAGACTTCGCTGTGATTGTAATTCTATATTTTCAAAATACACAAACATACATACACATGTGTATTTCATATACTCATAATCTCATAATTTATGCCTCTTTTTGTTCAAAATGTAAAAAATTCTAACCATTTGTCATTTGAATATTTTTTTCGTACCAACTACCTATTACACGTGCTTCAACCTCTGTGGCTTTCTCACCAATCTGCGCGTCAAGTCATCAACCGCTTAGAAGTGAAATCAACTGTCGTCTATTGAAAAAAAATGACGTAAGTAGAAAAAGTAAACTATAAATTAATTTGAATAATTTAACTGCTGCGAGAATTTCATTTTCAATAACAACTCCACTTCATTGAAGTATTGTATAAATAGTTACTCATACGCCATAGCGCATCGCAATGTGCAAGTAAAACAAAACCACATGTGGTTGAGTATAACTACGTTGTTGTTGTTACAATTTACTCATGCTTAATTCATTGCTTTTAAGTTCATTATCGAATAAATTAATTAAACTACACAAACAACAATAGCACACACACGTGAGCATTCCGAACCCAACAGACTAGTTCAATAACTCGTGTGACTACAAATTGTGTATACATACATACAAGTATATAACCTACATATGCTTTCCTACATATGTTTGTATGTATACACATTGTTGATATGATTTATGGGGAGCAAAAGCGCTTCAATTGATTTGAATTGATCACAATTTGTGACAGATCAGCGTTAAATCCCGTAATAAATTGATAATAATACAAATATTAAGGATGTTCAAAAATTATATTAAATTTGAAACTACTTTAAACATAAAAATCAAATATTAATTTTAAAAGTAACTGCATTTTGTATTTGTAAATAAAAAAACGTGAATTTTTTTTTAAATAATTTTTATAAAAAAAAAAAAAATTTTTAATATTTAATTTTATGGTATATTAGAATAATAAGAAAATTATAAAAATAACTCGATTGTATTTATAAATAAAAAAATTCTTAAATTTTTTCGAAATATTTTCTATAAAAATATTTTCTATAACTCTGAATCTTTTAACAGAAACTTTTTTTTGTGATTATATTTATTAAGGCGCAAAAAGGAACGTAACAATTAGAAAAAAATATTAGTTTCGTTTCTTATAATGAATTAATTGACTTTACTATTTATAAGAAGTCAGCAATCTAAACACGCATTATGATTTTGCCCAGACAATTTGGATCAGTCTAATAAATTTCTCCTAGTGGCTATAAAAATAGTTTGCCATTATTATTATGAATGGAAAAATATGAGTTAACATATTGTCTAACAAATCAAAGGGTGGCCGAATGCAATGTCACACGTGCGACATGTGCCACGTGAATGTTAGTTATAAATATGTGCTTGTCTATGCAAGGTTTTGAAATACTATTGTATATGCGTTTTCATAAACCAAAACAATTAAATTTGAGGGTGTAGGAAAGCAATGTCCTATTGTGCGCTTCGTAGTTATAATAAATTAAAATAGAATCCGTTAAAGGTCATAAATACATGTACATATATTTAAATCACAAAAAAATCTTCAAAAATTATGCCTATTAAGAATACTAACAGGATTGCGAATTTTTTAGTTCAAAGAACTTGCATTTAAAATTAGACTTTAAATTTTTAATTCCGAATTTAGAATCAAAAGTTTAAAATATTATATTTTAATTTAATAAAATAAATTAAAATTTTATTTTTAATCCCAAATATATTGGATTGTAAACGGAGAAACTATTTTATAATTAAAAAATTGGAGTAACGAATAAAAAAATTATTTTTCAAATTATAACCTGAAATGAAAAGGGCTAAAAAGGAAAGATTCGATTTATCTATTTAAAGTAAAAAAATAATTGTTATTCAAATGTTAATTCAATTTTTTTTAATATTATTTGCAAGCCCTTATACAAAACACATTTTTTCATCAAAGAACTTTTAATACAAGCTTGCACACTTAGAAGTACAGGTTGTTTACTTTTCACCATTGTCAATTTTCCCCTAAATGAGGTGAAGTTCTTCTTTATTATCGTTTGACAATTTGCACGCTCTTCCAATCGCAAACGTTCAATCAGAAAACGTAAATGAATAACATAGAACGTAAAATTTACGATTTTGAATTGTGTATGCAGAGAACGTATATAATTTACGTTCTATGATTTACGTTCTCTGCTGTCAGCTGCAACGTCAGCTGTGAACTTTTGACATTCAATCAGAGGATATAAATAAAAACAAAAACGAAAAAGTTTAATTTGGATGTTAAAAATTGTGATAAATCTGCGCTAAAACAATATACAAAAAATAAAAACAAAAGGGCACAACAAACCAAAATCAATACAAAACAAATGAAAATAGTCGCAGTGGAGCTGTGTAAATTATAACAACGATGTGGGAGACATTGAGTGTGCTCGCATAACGCAATTCCGATACATTGAATTAAAATCCGTTTTAAATTATTGTTGTGTTATTGTGTTTATTGTTGCAATATTTTGTGTTATTACAATTTATATAGTAGCTTTTTACAATTTACATTGCAATATTCGTTTATGCTCTCCAGTTGCCGCAATTATCCATCATATTATCGCTGTCTCAGCCAGGAAAACTATTTTAATTTCGGAAACCTGGATACTAGCAACTGTCCACATCATCAAAGTAACTGCTCTGCGATACTAATAATTTTAATGATATAATGAACTATATAATGCTTACAACAATGTAGATAGCGGCTCCAACGATTTATCTGGCAGTAATAATTTGAATTATAATAATTTATTACAATTCCCCACGACGTCTTGGCGCTCGTTGGACACAAATATTGATACAGCACCTACAAGTAGCTGTTATAGTTCCTCACCATTTTTGAACACAATGAACAACAATAGAGCTAGTGGTGGCGAGGCCGGCATCGATGCTACCACATCCACTACCAACTCGGTGCACTCTATTAATGAATCTGCATCCCGCACTTGTCGCATACGTTCAAGGCTGGGTGAATTGAATCCATTGTTCCAAAAAAGAAATAAAACTGAAGATGAAAAAGCATTTCCACCACATCTAATTAAACAGGCACGCAAAACAGGCGCTTTACAGCTGAGCGGCCGAGGCTTAACGTCAGGTTAGTACAACGGTTAACAATGGACAAAAACAACTCTATTTCTTTGTATTATCTCATCCTTAAATAAATTTCTGTATGCGTCACGATGTTTCAAAGGCATAATTAAATGAATTTTCTTAGTTAGTCCACATTCCTGCCGGCATCGCTTAAGTGGTCGCACAATTATTCCCAGCTGTTTGTTGCGCGTTTCCTCGTAGTTGTAGTTAAAGGAAATGTCGTAATAGTATTCAGTGTTAAATTAAAGTTTTATAATTAATGAGGTATTAAAACAAAATAAAGCATGGTGTTAAAATAGTGAACAAATGTGTTTTAAAACATATTAAAAACAAAAAAAAAAACTTATTTTACAACGCCACGTTATTTCACAGTTTTCCGTGAAAAGTAAGTGTTAAAAGTTGTGCACATGTAACCATATTATAAATACTACGTTTACAAAAATATTTAAAAACAAAAAAGAAAAAAAGCGTTAGCTTCGACTACACCAAAGCTATAATACCCTTCACAGTTGCATTTTTTATAGCATAAAAGGGTATAAAAAGATATAGAATATAAGTAGTTTAACTTTCAAAATATTCTGGAAATAAGTTTAAATTCATATCTTCGTGATATTGAAATCGCTGAATGTCTGTTTAAAAATTTATTGATATAATAATTGGCCTACCTCAATGGTATTTAACTATAATGTTGTAATATATTTTATATTACCTTTAATTGTTTACGCCGTCTTTATTTTCCGTCCCACATTTATCACCTAGTGTATGCGGAGACATATCGAACCGCACCCAACATATCCAAAACTGTAAAATGCATATTTCCTGCCTCAACCACACAAATGACCTTTTATTATGTCGTCATGTGCATATACCTGTTCACAATCGCTTAACTAACCGTTATAGAATTGTGTTTGTAGCTTTCTATGTCAATTGTTAAACGTTCTGTCTGGCTCGCTAATGTTACTAACTAACCAAAACTGGGAGTGAAGCGCATATTTGTGTATGTGTGTTTATAAAGTTATTTATGAACGCATTTCCCCTGATTGAACTTGACAGTGAAACTCTTTTTTTTTTTTTTGTTACACATAACTACAAATGTATATATGTACATACTTTTATATTAGTATTTGTATGCACTGAACCATTTTTCTGCTTCCACGTTGCTTATAATATACTATTTTGCAACATAAGTTTTAATTTCTTCTTATTATTATTTAAATGCTGTTAAGTATCGTATTACATCACCTAAATCTGCAACGTAATATAGCTAACCCAATTATGGCTAAACCAAATTTCATGCTCGGTTAACCATCACGAGCGCTTCGTTCAACACAGTGCAACTGAAATTGAATTTTATGCCATAAAATTAACATTAATGCAAAAGTTAAAATGCATCAACGTAGTTGCATACTGTCGCTCAGCGTTAATGGTTGCTGCTTATTAGCATTCTTAATTTGTATTAATAAAATAAAAAAAGTATTATTTTCCGCAGTAACTTTTTGTTAAAGAAAAAACATTCAAAATTGCGTCCTTAAAGCAAACACGCAAAAAGCTCACATCCTTCTGCATGTGTGGTCCGGCGCATAGGCGTTTATTCTATCACATACGGGAATATCACATGGCCTCCTCGACCAGCGAGCAGGAGACCGAAGATGAAATCGAACCGAAGAGCCAACGTGAACCACTGGCAATCGAATGTAAATTATCCTTTAAAGATCACATGGCTAATCTGCAAAATATCTGTACTGTGTTATACGACAATGCACACGTATATAGTTAAAATCTATTGATAAATTGTATCAAGCGCCGGAAAAAATTATTTCTATTTTATCTAATAAAGAGTTTAACATTCTAGTGCCCGATAAAATTTACCAAATAAACCAGACTGACCAGGATTTGCCAACTTCATTGGAACAGCTCACTGTTCGCGAAGAAGATGCTTGGTGGAATCAAATGCCTTTAACCAATTTGGATTTAAGTTCGAACGCTTTGACACATTTATCGCCAAAAATTGAGAATCTCGAAACATTGACCACATTGACGGTGAGTTTAGCTTATGCCTTAGGCTTATGTAGCATTTTATGCGAGTTATTAAAAATCGAATACCAACACTTTTGATATACAGTTTTAATTTAGTGTGATTTATACATTTGATGGTGATTGTTTTATTGCGTTATTTTCTCTCGGCAGCTGCACGACAATTTACTAACCAGCCTTCCTAGATCCATATGCAGATTAGAGAAATTAGTGCGCGTCAATCTGAGTCGCAACAAGTTGAGAGAGCTGCCTGTTGATTTTTACTCGTTACCTGAGCTGCGTTACTTGAATATATCGTACAATGAATTTGAAGAATTACATCCCGCTGTGAGCGATTTGCACATGCTGGAATATTTGGTATGTAGAGTAATTTTTATGTTTCTGTGTTTGGCATCTAGACTCATGTAAGTCCTATTTACGATATTTTAAAAGCCTTACACGCAGCTTTTAATTGACCTCCTCTGCATCTAATAAGCATTAGTTATAACAAGTCTAAATTGTCCATACTAAAAGAACCAAAAAAATTTCATAAAAACTACCACAAAACTAAGAACGCCGATAAATTTTGGAAGAATCTAAAAAAAAAGAATAAAGTGAATGATATGTAAGATTTGTGATCCACATTTTTAACGGGACAAGGACTGTCAGTACAGTATTATTCCCAAAACAGCAGTACTAGCAATTATTTATACTCAATTTCAGAAAATTTTAACGGGACAAGGACTGTCAGTACAGTATTATTCCCAAAACAGCAGTACTAGCAATTATTTATACTCAATTTCAGAAAATTTTACCCCATTTTTGAAATTATAATTAAATATATTTATAGTAAAAAAACTTTCGAAAATACCCAGGGTTTTCTCGGCACCTACTTTCTTTACTTTTTCAAATTGAAAAATCTTAATATTATATTTAATTAAAGACATATTTATGTTTTACTTATCGTACGCATACCTCACACTTTTTCTATGACCAAACTAATTTAATACGCATTTGTAGTATTTAGTATAGTGTAGAAGTATTTTGGTCAAAAAGTGTAGAAGCATATTGGTTCGAACTATATTTTTAGTTTACTTATGGGGTTATATCCACGTACTAGTCAACAAATGAATGAAATGAGAAAAATACACATTTACAGAATTGAATGTACTTTAATAAACAGCCAATCATTTTGAAAAACTTTATCACGTAGCTGGTTTCCAGGAAAACTTCCGAAGAAAGGTGTCTAGCGGTGAAGCAGATTTTTCTGCGAAGGACTAGTAAAGTCGTGAAAAATTTACACTTCAGAGTTAAAAAATCGAAATTATTATCAAAAACTGTATTCCTACGATCATTACCTAGGTAATGTAGGAAGGTCGCATTTTCAAGTCAATAGGTTAAGCCGTTTCAGAGAAATTTTCCTCACGTGTTTAAAGTTTTGGTTGCCGGTTACACCAAATTAAAGAACTCATACAAATCTTGAAAACCATAATTTGATTAGAAAAAATGTAAATTAACTTTAAGAGTATATTTTATTTAACATATGTTAATTATTATTATATTTTATTTATCATGCCAAATAATTATAAAACTTACTCAAAAATTAGGTAATAACTTAAAAAATACAAAATAGCATATACACTTACTTACATGGTGTTTGAACTAACAAATTCAATAATTACTTACTCAAACCAAATATATAATTGAAAGAGTTCTTTAAATGAATAAAAATATCTAAACCAAAGTAGCATCTTAAAAGCAGTTAAATCCTAAATGAAACTGAAATTTATTAATATGCTTAGTTTTATTATGTATTAGAAGAAAAATAGAAAATCAACTATCTGATTATATTATATATAATTTAAAAAAATAACACAAAACTTTTTAATAAATATTATAATTAATTTTATTTTCCAAATTAACAATAAAATGTTATCTAAATAATACTAATCTGAAAACTGAAATATACTATCAATAGGTTAAATGGAATTAGATTAAGAATCGTATTTTTTAATTTTTTTATATATATTTTTTTTTGTTTTCCGACCTAAACTAAAAATTTAATTAAAAGCTTTTATTAAAATTAAACATACACATACATATATTTATAATATTTGCATAAACATATATTTTAACACTATTAGTAACTATTAATGCATTGTGGCTTATGGTTTATGGTATAAAATTATTATCTTACTAAAAGGATGCTTCACATAACTCACTTACGAGGCTACCCAATGGTATTGGCTTTCTGGTGCGCGTATCTGAGCTTTTACTCTCACATAATCACATAAAAGAACTGCCCTCCGATCTGGTGAATATGCGTTGTAAGTTGATTACATAACCAAATCAAACTATTCATGCCTTATAAAATACCTATACAAATACATATATACACATATGAATATTATAGATGAAAATATATACTCTGGAATATTACTAAAATATAATTTTTGTGATATTATGTTATAATTGAAGCGCTACAAAAATTGGATCTGAATAATAATGACTTGATAGCCTTGCCCGAGGATATGGGCAGTCTGCGCAAATTGTTATGTTTATATCTGCAGCACAATGATATAACGCAATTACCCACTTTCGAGGGCTGTCAGAATTTGCAGGATTTATACGTTGCCAATAACTTAGTTGCGGTAAGCTATTCACATATGTACAAACATACAAACAGACGTCGAAATAAGCATGTGGCCTAAATGTAGGCTATCATTTATTACCTTTTTATAAATATTTGAACTTAACGCCCTCCTTTCAGCGCTTTTGATATTTGTTTTTTTTTTTGTTGTGTGTTTTTTGTGAACTTTCTACTTGTAAAATGATTAATTTTTCTATATTTTACAAACTGTGCTATTTTTCGTTTTAGAAATTACCTGAGAGTTTTTGCTCAAACTTGCCACATTTGAAAATTCTCGATTTGCGCGATAACAAAATTACGAAAATTCCGGACGAAATTTCGCTACTGAAAAATCTCATTCGGCTCGATCTTACCAATAATTCCATAAACAGTCTGCCCTTGTCGTTGGGCTCATTAGCGCATTTGGTTAGCCTGCAAATCGACGGTAATCCCATCAAGTCCATCCGTCGTGATATACTCCAGTGCGGTACAAATCGTATACTACGAACATTGCGCGAACGTGCGCGTGCTTCTGTCGAAAAACAACAGCATCTTACTCAAGGCGATACCGTTTCCTTAAACTCTTCAACATCGTCGACAACAACTTTCGTACACAATAATACCGATAAAATGGGTGCAGATGGTTTGAATAGTCCACGCCGTCCGGCTGGTGGTTGTGATGAAGACACAACATTTCCCGATAAGTGAGTGTTTTAATTAGTGTTGTGTTGTTGTTGTTTTCGTTTGTTTTGTTCTCTAGTGTGTTTATATGTATGTAAATGTGTAATTATTTGTGTGAGTGTGTGTGATTGAGTGTGGCCAACCCCTCCTTCTCCAATATAGACATAACTCCAACACATATATGAATGTGAATATGGATCAGTCGAGCGGAACAACAGAACAAGCCCAAACGATGCATTCGATGCAACAATTTGCATACAATTACAACAGCTATGAATATATGAAAATGGATATATCCAAATTTGTAAATCCATATTTCCCCTATAATAACTGCTACGGTACATTAACATCATCCTATGATCCGCATTATCCGATCTATCAACAACCAATACCATATCAAAATAACCATGGCCACGGCGGCTGCAGTATTTATTCGCAGAATATTTTCTAATTATGCCACATGAGTGGTTAGTAATCGAAACGTGCTTGAAATTTCAGATACAAAATGAGAAACACGCATACATTAAATGTGACCATGCAGTACTTGTCCACAGTACCTGACGAAGTGTTCCAAACGGCCGCAGAAGAGCATGTCAGCTGCGTTGATTTCTCTAAGAATCGTTTGGAAAAGTTGCCAGATGCGTAAGTATGATTAATGGAAAATGTTTTTTAATGAATATTTGTTAAAATTAAAGCAAGATATTACCATTAGAGTAAAAATGTTGACAACTTTTTTATACATTTTTTTATACCAAATTTTATGCCAGTTGTTTTCTAACAATATAAAAATAGATAGATATATATTCTTATATATATTATATAACTTCATTAATGTAAAGGAAGCAATGATAAATAGTTGTATTATTTTATACCAGTTTTTTAACGTTATATGTAGCATTTAATATGCACCGCGCTTATATTTATGTTTCTTCTGTTTGCATATTTGAACAATGATTAGAATAATCTATAATTTTCATTATACCAGTTTCTATTTGAAATTACACATGTAGTTAAAAGTGGCTTTTTAGATTTACTCAATGTTTTCGTTCGCTTTTTAACGTTATTTTTTATAACTAGTTAAATAAAAAACAGAAATTATATATATTAATTTTTTTGTACCAGTTTACAAAAAGTATGTATACATTTTATTCACATAAATTGCTTAAATTTTTTTTAAACGCTTTTACTATTAAATGCGGTTAATATCTTTAATTATACCAGTTTAACGGTTTTTATTTAAGTTCTGATATTAGCAAGTCAATTTGGCAATACTTATTATTATGCCAGTTTTTAGTGAAATTTTTTGTAAATATTGCTATATTTTTATGGCTATTTATTATTTTTTTTCTTGAACCTCTAATAGAAGTAAATGTAAAATTTTTATGCCAGTTTTGTTTTTCAATATATTCTTATGAACAAGTTCAATATTAAACATTTAACATAATCTACTATATTTATGGTAAAACTATTTGGTTAGATTTTAGACTTTGTTTTAATTACTATCAATTTACAGCGTCAATAAAATTATTACGATAAATTGTTGAAAATAATATCTCTCTCCCCACCCGCATTTCTCCACTAGACTTCATCTTCTGAAGGGCAGTGCCAGTGAGTTGGTCTTCTCCAACAATCAAATAACCAAAGTGCCAACATTTTTGTCGCAATTCACACGTCTTACTTTACTCAATTTGTCATGCAACCAACTGACCGACCTGCCGAAGGAAATGGGTGTCCTGAACACCTTACGAGAATTGAATATTTGCAATAATCGGTAAGTTTTTTATATATAACTATCTTGTTACCATACCGTTAGTTTCTTATACGATTTCCTCTACAACTTACTCTCTGCCCAATATAGTTAAATATTATTAATCATTCCATTTTAATTCTTTTCAGCTTTGACCACATACCGACCTGCCTTTATTATACGCAAAATCTGGAAATTCTACTGGCCAGCGACAATCGTATCAAGCATATCGATGCGACACCAGAAGGATTGGGCGCCTTGAAGCGACTAACTATTTTAGATCTACGCAACAACAACATTGAGCAAGTGCCACCCGTACTTGGTAATCTAACACATATTGCGTAAGTCCAGCTCACTTTCAAACTACCGTATAACCCCATAACGCCTATTTTTAATTGTTATAATTTACAGTACACTGGAACTGATCGGTAATCCTTTTCGACAGCCACGCCATCAAATACTTGCCAAGGGCACAGATGCCATCATGTCGTATTTGCGTGATCGTATACCAGCCTAAGGCTTAGCCAGCGAGCTAACTCTTTTCTTTTAGTGTACAACGTAACATTATTATTTTTTTGAAAACGAAATGGAATGTGTTTGTTGATGGTCGCAAAAAAATTCAAATTGCCGCTTATATTATATTAAAATCGCCCAAGCTACTGTTAACTCGTGCGTGCGTTGTGGTAGAACGTAGATTTAATAGCGGTTGGGTTGATTTAGTTTTGGAATTTTATTTGTGAGAACAAGATACGCAATATTTTCATGCATATACATACTCTATATATATGTATATATATATATATATATATAATGTACGCCTAACAAAAAAAAGAAAAATATATTTTTAACGATATTACAAATTTGGTTCCGTCTCTTTCGCCAGAGTTATGGAAGCAAATTCATTTTTTTATTTATTCTTTAATATTTACTAACTACCTTACACTAGTCATTATGTACAATACAACATACAATCATAAATGCATACATAAATTTATATAAAATTTGTTTAAAATAGAATTTCTAAAATTAGAGACACTAAAAAAATACTATAAACGACTTTTAAACTCGCTAAAAATTAAAATAAAATTGACAGCGTATAAAAAAGAGAGAGAGCGAGTATTTATCTTAAAAAGCGCTCTTAAAAAACATGTTGTATACTCTGTAGTTCCGTACACTGTTAATAAAAAAAGAAATCTTATTAAAACAGCTGCTAAAGAAATGTTTAATTTAAGCAAAAATAAAAGAAAATCATATGCTTTAGTAGATTTTTGTTTATTGTATATATAACGCTTGTTTGTAATCACATGAAATAACATATACTTATAGAAGAGACAAGAAGGACAAGTCAGGCCTTCCGATAACTCGAGAAAGGTCAAACTAAACCAGCAAAATATAAGAGTCAAAACAAATTCTAGAATCGGACTATTGCCAGACCTATAAAAAAGGTTAATCAAAAATCGAATTATACTCACTGCCATATCGGCCGTTCCAACAAATGAGCAGCTTCTCAGTGAGGAAAAGAACAGGCACAAAATTTCAGATCGATATCTTAAAAAACGGAGGGATTAGTTCGTGTATACACATTTAAAAATTTCCCCGGGAATTTTGGCCTTGGTTTAGGCAAATAAAAAACTTTCCATACAAAAACTCGACGTTTAGCGTTCAGTTTGTATTACAGCTATATGCTATAGTTGGTCGATATAGGTGGTTCCGACAAATAGCAGCTTCTTAAAGTGACTAAATCGACTCAGCTCGCCACGCTGTTCATTTATATACATATACATTTTGTAGGGTCTTCGACGTTTCCTTCGGGGTGTTACAAACTTCGCGGCAAACTTAAATACCCTGTTCAGGTTATAAGTTAAAAGAAATTAATATATGCCTTCCTTAAATCCACTTAAATCGATATACAATTTTTAGTAAATACGTATACGTAGACGTATATAGTGGGTCAATATCTGAGGTATTCTAATAAAATAGTATTTTACTGAACTACATATCAATAGAAAATAAAGCACGAACAAACCTTCCTCACTTTTTCAAGAGACACATTTATTTCCAAAGAAAAATTGTATTTCAGAAATGTTCGTATATATTTTAAATTACTTATTTCGATTTATGCCATCTTTATATTAATGTATGTATGTATATTGCACTAAAATGTGAAAAAGTGCAAGATTTTCTCTACAACGCCTCATTTTCAATTATGTATCTACTGTTGTTCCACAACTTCGGCACGCAAGCGTTTGGCCAGAGTCTTACGCAACTGTAGAGCTGAGTTTTGTGGCTCACCGGCAATTTCTTCGCTAGATGCTTTATCTAGCAGCTCCGTGGGTTTGCCACCGTTTTCCAGCAATCTTTGCGCCACTTGCGCCGATGACGGACGTCCGGTAGATGTGGGCTCTGAGGCACTTCTACGTGCCACCGTCTCCGAAAGTTGTTTAGCGCGTGTCTTCTTTTTGATCTCAACAATTTTATCACGCTGCTGACGCAAATATTCTTGACGCGACACAACGTCGTCGGGATTGACCTATGCAAAGTGTAAAATATTATTATAAATCAAAAATATAAAATGTACATATATATTAGGGGTCACAACCTTTTGGTTATCGAAGAACAAATTCAGGCGCTCAAACTTATCGCTCACGCTTGCCTCAGCATTCTCCGGTTCAGGTGTTACGGCCGCATCGGGACTACCGAGTTCTTTCTCTACAGATTTGGCTATAAAATCTTCGACTTCATCATATTTCTCACTGTAATTTCGAATAGCGGTGCTTATAAAAATAAAAATGAGATTATTTGGTTTTCGAATAAAAAACATACAAATTTGAACTGCTGCTTTCAGTGGGACTAGCACTGTCAACCGCGTCACTTTCCTGCAGCAGTGCCAATTGATTTTTCTCTATCAAATCCAAGGCTTGTAGTTGCAGCTCTACATTCCGTTGGGTCATCATGCGTATAAACATTTTGATATCATTCGCTGCCCAAATCTAAATGTTTAAGAGACGCTAAAAATCTCTGAATACTGGTCCCGGCTTATTTTATATTTGTATACTCACCTGCTGAAAGAGTCCCTGGTGAAAGTGCAAATGATTGTCCGGATTTCTACCTTCCATGCAGGCAGTCTCAAATTGTTCCGGCGTGATTTGCATTTCCTCCATGAAACTGCCCAACATGTAATCCACCAGATTTTTATACTCATTATGAATCGCCACAATATCGGGACTGTCCTCATTGATATGCATATTGGGATCGAAGACTGCAGCCAAGGAAGGTTTGTTAAAAGAAATTAATTCCAAACAAAAAGCTTAAATTGGCTCTCAATTAATTTACCTAACGATTTTTCCTCTATGAAAGTCTGCAGAGGCGCATTCCAGACGGGCCCATGCAAGAAACACACCAACGAATCCAAGACCCAAGAATCCTCTGTAGCCATATTGAGAGCGTGAAAATTTTGCTTGTTATTGGATAGGCAATTGCAATCGAGTAACTGTGATTTCTCATTGTAACACATCTGGGAACCGCAATGCTAGCATTTGTTTTGACCATAATTGGTTGCCCTGACAACCAATTCTAAAGTGTGGTATACTTTTTCGTTTGTTGGAATGTGTGCGAAGTGAAATGGGCAGCATGCCATAATTCTTTTTAAGGAATATCATATTTCAAGTTCTCAGACACGAAATTAACACTTTCTTGTTAACATCGTTTTTACTTACATACAGAGGAGGCGGCTGAGAGGAGCTAATAGGGTATCGCGAAAATAGGTACTGAGTAAATTTTTGGCATACTACTCTTACCTTAATTATAGGCGTATAATATGAAATGACTTTGAACTACTATTTTACGAAAAACGCAAAGAGGAAACTACTTCAACTCATTTCTCATTCAGTAAGCCTCTTTGCGATGACGCACATATTTTTATAACGCTGTATTCTATTTGCACCAAATGGTTTTCTTTTTGATATAAAAATTAACAAAATGTCTACAAACCCATGAATTGCAATTAAAAACCACAGTAGCCACTAAATTTATCTGCAGAGAGTCGGAAAGTCCCCTACACTGTGGAGATACCAGAATCGGTTACCACTTCAACTCAATACTACTTGAATCCATACCATTTCGGGTCTTCGTAAACGAAATTCTTTCACCGAAATTCTGGTCTTCATAACCGCAATGGACACAGATTTATATTCGTTTCAAAACTTCTATTATAACAGATTTTCCGAATATTTGCTTACGCTGCTACTTCTACAACATAAGAACTAGGGGTTAGAAAACTTATTTTGCTAATGGAGGCACATTCCTCTTTTACAATTGGCTTGTCACTTTCATCACCCATCTGACTGTCTCGAACAGCGTTTCAAATACTGGTGTCAGGTGGTTTACTATGTTCAACAAGCTCATCGTGGGACTGGATCAATCAATTCGAGAGCTATAAGATTAAAGTTGGGCTTTATCCCTCCAAATAAGCTCCTTCTATAGCTCTATTCCTCCGGTGGACCGAGTTCACTCGTTGTTCTAGGAGGCTTTTGCTTACTCTTATTTCATTTCAATCTCACTGTATAGCTATCCTACACAAGACATACAGTAATAATACGAAGAACAGCAATGCGGGCAGAGGTTCACCGAAATCACTTCGTCTAAGTAACCGAAAAGCACAGAAACAGAACGTTTCGCACATTGATATCGTATGCGTCGAAATGCGAAGAGACTATAAAATTTCACAATATTTTGTAAATTTCAGGTTGAGCCAAAATGTTTGCACCAGCGCCTTCGCACTTTTCATTCTTTTCGTGTTTCTGAAGTTTTAGAGTGAGTTTATAAAGAAGGTGATGCGTAGTCAAACTGAATGTATTTCATTTCATTTTCATTTCAATTTAGGGAATCTCAAATTTCAATATTTGTACCGTGATCCATTCTTCAGACTAACTGGAATCGAGTGTTTATTTGAGAAACTAACACACATAGCAACTTTTCCAAAGAAAGGAAGCTCACAAAACTTACTTTAAAGCAACGCGAACTCTTCGTTTGCCATAGGTTAATGATATAAAAGGCCACTTGGAGACCAGTAAGTGTAAGAATCGACAATACTATGCTTCTAAGTGGCGGTGGTATTAGGTATCTTATTCCGGTGAGATGTAGCTGAGCCGTCTTCGATAGAAATCAAGCAAAGGAACATGCCGTCTCTAGCGAAATATTTGGTTTTATTGAGGAGAATGCTAGCTCAGAACAGGATGAGAATTTTATTTCAGGAAGCACTACTGCTTCCTTCCTTTTACTTTGAACGCTGAGTTTTTTTTTTAAATAGAAAATACACACTGTTTTTGTTTAAAAACTATTAAAAACTATTATTTAATTTATTACTTTTTCTTCTTTCCACTTTATAAATTTATATATATATATATTTATATATATATACTTGTTTATTTATTTATATATGGAGACGTAAATAAAACTTTAAAATACTAAGTTTTTCCTCTTGCTTTTGAAGTGTTGATTTTTTATTATTATTACTGCATTTGCAAATTTCGTTTAATTACTTTCGTTATTTGAAACGCTGCTGCTGGCTGCAAAACATTGTGAAACAACATTGTTCGGAAAAAACATTTAAACAAAGAACGAAAATGTTTTCATATTTTTTATAAACATTTCTGCAAGAATTTTACTAATAGCAGTTGGAACTTGGCTAATCCTAGACGTAAAAGTGTAAAAACCAGAAATTTTAGGTGATGAGCCGAAAAGAATGTGAGGGAAAATTCGAAATAATTATTGCTGCAGCTTTTAACTAGGAGTGTGGTTATGAATTGAGGGATGTGAACTGGATTTTGCTGCAACGACGCAGATACATATATATGCTACATAAAAACACATATGTATGTATACATATGTATGTATGTATATAATTTACACATAATTAAATAAATGTAACTGCATAATTAATATTATAATAGCGATAATGATAATTGTTATATTATAGTAGTCATATATTTATAGTAAGTATAAACTATAAAAACTTTATATTCATCCATTCATCCATATTTATGTTTAAGAATAACTAACATACCTCATTTCGTCTATGTGTTTTTTGTTTCATTTCTTTGATGCACTGCAACAACAACTTTGCACAGAAATGTCGCCAATATAATTTTAGCTTGTTTTTTTGTTTTTCCCTTTTAATAGCAAAGCAAAAATTTATGCTTTTTTTTTTAATGTACATATATATGTGTGTGTGAGTGTAGCTGTATTTATGTGCAGGTGTAAGTGATTTTGAGAGTGCTTAAAGCGTTATTACGCGTATTTTACTTATATGCGACTGCTTGTTAAGCGTTGAGCGCCCGTGTGGAAGGAAACAAGTGGCAGGACACTAATTAAGCGAACAGTCAAAGCGAGGTGTGTGGATGCAACAAAGACACGGATCGGGGGTGAAAAACAAAATTGATGCAAATAAATGGAAAAATATTTATCTATGTACATGTAAACCAAATATACAAAAAGAAATAAAAATTATAAATCATAAAAAGATAACAAAAAAAATTAAATAAATAAAAAAATAAAATTAGATAAATAAAAAACTAAGTTAAGTAAAAATTAAAAAAAAAACAATAAAATTAATTTAAAAGTTAAAAAAAAACAATAAAATTAAAAAAAATTAATTAAAAATTAAAAAAAAACAATAAATTTAAAAAATTAATTAATTGAAAATTAAAAAAAAGTGAGAAAAATAAGTTAACAAAAAACAAGCAATCGAAAAAAAAATAAAAATTAAAAAAAACACAATGCAGTGCAAAAAATAAGTTAGTAAACTATAAATTAAAAAACAAGAATAAATTGAAAAAATTAGTTAATCAAAAGTTAAAAAAAAGCACCAAATTAAAAAAATTTACATATAAAAAATAATTCAAATTATCAAAACAATTAAAATTAAAAAATAAATACAAAATTTAAATTATAGAAGGATAAAAATAAAATTAAACTAGATAAATAAAAAAATATGTTAATTTAAATTTAAAAAAATCAAAAAATTGCAAAAAGTGAAATAAAAATTAAAAAATAAACAATAAATTTAAAAAAATTAAATAAAAAAAGCTTTAAAATAAATAAAAGATTAACATAAATAAAAACTTAAATTAGAGCAGAAAAAAAGTTAAAATAAAAATATTAAATAAAGAAAATTTAAATAAAAGCAAAAAAAATTAAATTAACAAAAAAATCAAAATTTAAAAAAAGTTTACATAGATTAAAAATTAAAAAATTAAATATAATTATTAAATAAAACAAACAAAATTTACAAGAATATATATTAAACAATTTCAGATAACAAATTAATAATTAAAAAATGTTTTAAAGAATTTAAATCATAATTGTAAAATAAAACGAAGCATAAAGCCAATTACTAATTACTTAAGAAATAATAAAATTTTACATAAAAACAAAAGAAAAAGCATTATAAAAAAAATGAGTGCCAGCGCTCTGCAGTGAAACATCTAAATTGTCAAAAAATAATAGTATGCTGCAAATAAATTGGCCCCGATGAGGAAGTTTAACTGCATAATTAAAACTACATTTTTTTTCTTTTGGTTTTTCGGAAGCCATATTACGAGTATGTACCGGTACCAGTTTTTTTTTTTTTTGTAAACTAGTATAAAACTGGTAGCTTACTGACGAACATCTGACAACTGACACCTTGTTGAACATGGCCTTAGAAAATACCCTCTACAGCTATGAAAAAAGCTAGTACGCAGAAAAGTAAAATTTGCGGTTCACACCACTTCTAAGGCAGCGTATTTCACTGCAGGGCGGGGATTACATAACGTTCGAAATAAGAACTAACAACATCCCAGCAAACATGAGAATCGAAAAATTAACGAATAAAAACGACAGACAAACGATATAATTAAAGGAAATATATGTGCGTATGTATTGTATGAATTAAGTGTACTGTATGTGAAATAATTTTTCGTTATGCTACAGTCTACAAATAAGCCTTACTCGTATAATATATGTAAACTACATACTTGTATGTATATATATGTATGTATAGATAGGTAAGTTTATGCCTATGGAGCCGGGTTTACGTTATTATCATTGTTTGTATGTATGTGTGTGTGTGTGTGTTTTGTGTTTGTATATGAATATAAACGTTTATTAATGATACATTTTACATATCATTTATTATTTTGTTCTTTTCTTTTACTTAACTAATATAATACATAATATATATTTATGCATATGTATGGACCTAAACGTAATCAATTGTGTATACTAAAGTATATGTATTTGTTTATATTACAATAAAAACTAATGAAAACATACATACATATCGTTCTTTTTTCTTTTAGTTTTTCAAATCTTTGAATTAAGTTTTCGAGTGTTTTTGAAAGTGCAAATTTAAATTAATTTATTTTTTAAAGCATAACGTTAGCTGGAAATGTCTGAAACGACGCTTCTAAAAAAAAATAACAACTCTTTCTAAAATTTGAATAGAAAGGCGTAAAAGAAATGAGTTGAAGTTTTGTTGTAGAAAAAGATTTGTGTTTGATCAAAATTATTAAAAAAAAAAAATTATTAAAAAAAAAAAATTAAAAAATAAAAACCAAAATTAAAAAAAATGTAAAAAAAATTTAAAAAAATATATAAAAAAAAAATTAATAAAAAATTCACCGAATTAAGGAAATATATTATTTACATTTGTTATATAAATATATATTTAATTAATAACACCTCTACTTCCCCTATTAAATAATCAAGCATGAATTATAAAAATCCATGTGTGGTACATTACAACCAGCGAGTTATAGACACATATTCACAATGCAGCAAGTTTTTTTTCAATTCGGAAACTGTAAAAACTAATAGAACGACGCATAGTTACTATAAAAACCGCTATTCTCACTCTATTCACTCATTCACTAGCGAATGGTATCAAATTTTAGTACAATTTTTTACAAAAGAGAAAGTGTAAAATTATGCAAATGCTAAACTGGTGTGGTTTAAAATAATTAATATACATATATACATATATATGCTGTACCAAAAACAAATGAAAATGTACACAATCAAAGGTTTTAACGCCATGAGTGAATATTCCATGGTTTTTGTATGCTAAAAATTAATTTTTTAATTGAAAAAAATATATATAATTAAACAATTTTCGGAGCATATATAGTGTATACAGGATATCGTATAAAATTTGATATGTAAGCACGTAAATTTACATTTAGTTTTTTTTTTACATATGCAAACATTTTTATATATTACAAAATCGTTACTTTTCAAAATTAATTTTCTTTTTTAAATATTATATTACTGCCGTTAAGTTTTAATAATGCTAAGCGTATTTTTTAATGTTTCATTATCGTATATAATGTGCCTCAAACTTGGTTCAATGTGAATAGGTGATTGAACTTGTGCGTCTGGTTGTGTTTATTAGTGTGTGTGTGTGTAATGTTCGGTAGGTTTGTTGTTGTACCAAAGTGTAGTTAAATCACTATCGATTGCTTGACATGAATAATTTAAGAAAATTGCTGTCTCTTAGCAAGCTGTTTTCTTTCTATAATTAAAAGGAGCGAGCGCTACAAACCATAAATAGCAAAAACGCACTAATTCGTTCCGTAAAAGCTTTGAGGATGAAAAAACAACAAACAGATTATATAAAAACATATAAAAAAAAAAAAGACAAGTATTAACGACAACTTTAAGCAAACCTCAGTCGGTTCTACTAGCAAATTTTCGACTTTAAAGTGAAAGTAGTTTGACACATCGCTAGTTGGCATAATTTAGCAAATTCCTTTGTAATTTACAACTCATTTTCTTTTCCGCCTTCAATTTCATTAATTTATTTGCTTTTGTTTACATACGACTGCGCGCACTGCAATGAGTTATCGCAAATAACTGTTATTAACCGACCAAGCTGGTAGTTTTGCACTACCAGCAAGACACCAGCATGCTTTTGCATAAGGCAATCGTTTTTTGACCTCAAAAGTAGTGGCATTTCAGGTGTTACGGCTTAACAACAGCATTTTTGATAACGCACTGCAGGTGTTTTTTCATCGTTTTAATATCGTAGAAATTGTTACCATTATTTTAAATATATTTCTTTTTATCCTTTAAATTAATTTAGCGGTCCCCATTAAATTAGATTTAACATTGCGACGACAACAACGACGATGAAGACTATTACATTTTGTTAATTCGTAAAGTAAATAGATGAAGTATGAGTTCAACTGGCATCATCCTTCAATTGCTTGCTAGCAATTTGTTATTTCTGATGTGTTTGTTGTTGTTTATATTTTTTCTCTCAATATAACTTTTTTTGTTTGCTTTTAAGATTTGTTTGACTTCCAACAAACTCTCAACTCAGCTCTTCCGTTCATATATATATTTATTATATTATGTATGCATGTATTTGTAGTTCGACAAAATTTATTTAATTAGTATTTTGCGAATTTAATTTCATTTTATTTTATTTTATTTATTCTCTAGTAGATTACGCGTTATATACTTGTATGTAGTATGTATTTATGTATCTATGTAAAATTATGTATGTACGTTTCTTTCATTTTTTTTATATTATATTACTTTTGTCTGCCGTCCCATCCATCTGCAGTGTCAGTATAAACAAGACAATCAAGACCTTCAGAGTCTCTTACGTTCGCATTCTTCTTCTTATTTAGTTTGCTGGCTATGCTAGTTGTATTTGTTGTTGTTGTTGTTGTTGTTCTGTCACATTGACCAAAACTGGTTGTTGTGTTGTTGTTGTTGTTTTATTATCGCTAATTGTTTTTCGCTCTGTGTTTATTGTATATCTGTTACACCTATTGTTGTAATTGTTGTTGTTGTTGCAGCTCTTGGCATGTACTCTTGTGTACGGCACTGGTTACTACTGCAAGCGTTGCATTTATATGGCTATTGCTTTTACAAATTGTTGCAGTTGTTGTTGTAATGTGTTGAAGACATTGTTGCGAATGTTTTAATAATTGATTCTGCAGCTGCCGCTGCCGCTGCTGCTGCCGCCGCAGCCGCTGCGTTAGTAGCGTAATTTTGCTATGCCATGCGTGGCTTCTTCTGATGCGGCGACTCCTCTTCTTCCTCCTCCTCGTAGTCATCCTCATCGCCAGAATCGCTCTCATAGTCGACGAGACCCTGCAAATTCAACAATAGGTTATGATAATATTTAGTCCTAATTAGCATTTTGCTTATTAAATCATAACTTACCTTCTTCCCAGTCATGACGGACGAAATAGCGCCATCTTTGCCGTTACCGTTACCCATATTATCGACACTGTCGTTGTGCTTGCCAACATTGAGCGCCAGCGTGTCCGCAGCATTTGCAGCCGCTGCCAAATTAGCCGCAGTTACCACGCCACCGCCGCCACCCATATTGGGCGTCACGCCAGTCACAGTGGCTGCGACAGCTGCGGCTGCAGCCGCTGCCACCGCAGCGACGGCATCGCTCGATGCGATTGATGTTAGCAATTGTGAGGCTGCTGCTGCGGCGGCGACCGCCGACTCGGACAGCGCGGTTGATGTGGATGGTGTCGCTATCGATGTGGATGATAATGACTGCGATTGCAGCGCGGCAACCGCTGATGATGCGGACCCCGTGACGGCAGTTGATGATGACGTTGCGGCAGCGGCTAATGCCAATTCTTGATGTTGTGGTACAATGGAAACCAAATGCTGACGCAATTCAACAATATCGGGATCCTCGTGTGTATGTTCGGGATGTTGATGTTGATGCTGATTTTGCGCCTCTAAATGTGCGGCACTAGCTGCCGATGTACTGGCCACACCAGCCGCGGCGGCAGCAGCTGCTGCCACTAGGGTGCTATTTAAATTTAGCTGCTGTTGTTGTTGGAAATTATGCAATGCCGTTTGCTGTTGATGGTGGAGCGCAATGTTGGCGGCAACAGCAGCTGCACCTAAATGCGCCTGTGTGGCAGCAGCGGCAGACTGTGAATGATCAAGGCTACTACTGTTGGACGCATTTGAAACCACATCACTGAGACTCACACCGCTGATGGATGATACACCGCCGACGCCGCTCACGCCTACAGCCGGTGTTAGTGTCGTTGCCGTGGTCGTTGTGGAGCTCAAACTATTTACGCTGCTACTGCTGCCTAGCAATGCGCCTTGTGGTGGCGATTTTTGTTGTATCGATGATTGTTGTGACGGAGATTGTGAAGGGCCATTCTTTTCGGTGACGGCTGCAAATGGAAAACGGTAAATCATAAATATGCGAAACTAAACTAAATTAATACCACTAATAAAACATACATTTCATTACGCTGTTGTAAGTATCATATTCATCGGCGAAATCTTCTTCCTCATTGAACCACATCTCTTCTTCGTCGTCCATCTGTCGCGGATCGCGGCGGAAGCGACTACGTATAATCGGTAAGCTACTGTATATATGTATATAAAAAAAGTATAAAACATTATTGTTAGTATTCTTGATTGCATTGTAGTAAGCTTATGTGTTAAATATGACCACTTACGTATCCAGCGACATCTTGTCGCGATCCTTTATTCGGTCTTGATACTGATCGTAACGGTTTTTGAGATATTTAAATGTTTGTACATATTCGATTTCATCAAATATTTTACTGAAATTCTCCACGAAGTAGACGCAAAGCGTTTTAATATCCTCAAGTTTTACAAACTCAAACAATTCCAGTATAGCCGATTCGAGTAAATTATATCTGCCATTATTTCTAATGAATGCGTCAACAACTGGTGCAAATAAGTTACCTTTAACTATATGCCTGTGAAGAGAAAATAAATTAAATATTTTGTGTGAGTTCAATTCATTTTAATCGTTTAAAAACAATACAGCAACAAACACCCGTTAACTTAAAGTTACCAAACCGTTAAAAAGTTTTTCATAAAAGCACTCGATTTTGGTCGATCAGATTGTATGGCTGCTATATGCTATAGTGGTCCGATATCGGCAGGTCTGATGAAATGAGTAACTTCTTGGGCAGAAAAGAATGTGCAAAATTTCAGATCGATATCTCAAAAACAGGAAATAGTTCACGAATATACAAACGGATAGAGGGATATGGCAAAATCGACACAAATCGTCACGATAATAATTTATATAGGTTAGGTTAGAAGGTCGATCCTAAGAAGGATCACACTTGGACAGCTTAAAACGCCAGTCCGTTGTGGTACCCCAAAACTCCTATGAGCTGGATTAAAAAGATCCCTACATGTCGACAAAGCGCTTTGTGTCTGTAACAAACTTGTTGGGACTTGGCCAATATCCATTTCGGCAAAGTCTTCTGGTCCGCCGAAAGTGATTGTCGAGGTGTTTCAGTCTCAGGCTAGCAAAAGCCGGACAGTGGAGCAGAAAGTGCCGGAATGTTTCTACTCCTCCATACAACTATGACAACTAGCATCGGGTAGTATTCTAGGTCGTACTACATGAGTACCCATTGGACAGTGTCCAGTGAGAAGTACTAAAATATCGGCTACCTGAACTTTGATCAAGGCGAGAAGTTCCCCCGACCTCCTGCGATCCACTCTCGGTCAAAAGCATATCGCGGTCGCACAGGAGTTGGTCGACGACCAGCGTCTGCTGAATGCTGAGAAAATTAATTTGTTCATAAATAAATTTGTTGTTTTTGTTGTTGTTGTTATGGTGTATTCCAAATCACGGAACATCGTTCAAAGGAACACTCTTAGGGATGGTGTTGATTGATCCTATGTCAATGATTTCTTGGAGCTCAAGTGAGATTAGTTTGATCGATATACTAGCAAGTCATTAACTACTTAAGTGGTCTAAAACAACATTTCCCAATAGAATGAAAGAATATTATAGACAAACAATTTACTTTTTCACTTACCTATTATAAAACTCGTCTTTAAGTGCAATAATTTTCCTTAAAAGTCTAAGTGCGCCAAGTACGAGGAACGTATGTGTGCTTTTCATAAGCACAAGTATTCTCTTTAGGAGATCTTTTTGTATGATAAAGTTTTTAATATGATAAGTATGATGTTCCACACAAAATGACAATATATCCAAGACAATGCCAAGCAATTGTGCGGTTTGGTAGTCTTCACTATCTGGACGATCGCCGATTGTGTTAATAAGTAGTGGAGCTGGACAATAAAAAAAAAAAAAACATAAAAATACATAAATTCATGCAAATACAAATACTTTTAAGTGCAGACCGAATTTTTCGTGATTTTGCCACTTACCAATCAGCGTTTGTATGCTGTGCTTATAGAAGAAGTTCAAAAATTCTGCCTTCTCCGTTAGCATACTTTCGGGTTCCAATAAAATTTTAATGATGCCCATTAATTGCACTGCGACACCAAGTTCGGGTTCGGAATCGCTTAACATTTGTTCAATGGCAATATTCAACAGCATACGATCCTTTAAATAGACAAATAATTCATCAGTACATTAAGTTATATGTATTTAGTAATGGAAATACTTACACCTTCTGTACGATTGACCTCCTGCTGTAATGTGTAGTTGCGCACCACCAACGGTGAGAACTCCACAATTGCAGTGAGTATATCGATTGAAGCGGATTTTGTTTTTTGATCGTTCATCACCAGTGTTATCTCCAGAGCTTGCAATATACCCAAACAGGTGAGTGTCTTGTAGAAAGAGTCTTTGCCCTGTGGTTGCAAGTTCTGTGCATAATTGCAAAATTCCTTTAAGAATAGCACAATATCGCGACGCTTGGCATCGCTGGTACTTGGATCTGTTAAAATGGTAAACATATCGACCAGGAAGCGCTCATCTTCTTGTATAAGTGTGACAATTTCCACTTTATTGAAGAATATAAAACTGGATAGCGTGTTTAACATGTTGTCTTCGACAAATACCGATGGTGTTGGCAATATAATGTCTTGTATGTATTGTACACGGAACGTTTGATGGATTTTGGCGAGCAGATCTTGATTTTTAATCGGTACTGCTTCGCGGAACTTGGCCCATTGTTTTAAATACTGACGATGCTTCTTTGGTTGAGTGGAACTGGGATCATACTCTAGGCAGCCAACCACATCGAAAATAGTATCTTCAGCGAACATAATCTCGAACAATGCATTCTTGTTTAATAGGAATATGTTCTTGAAGATCTCGAAGAGATGATGTAAACCCTCGGTATTGTCGAGATCTTCGCATACATGGAATAGATTTAGTAATTTTTTTATATAATTTTCGGATTCCAAGGCCATGGAGAGTTTCTCCTTTCGCAATGGTGTGGTCAAACAATTCTGTATGGTTTCGGAGATCTCCTCCAGACGTGCTAGTTCACATGGCGGCAATTCAATGGGCGGTGCTGTGTCGGACATATCTTCAAAACGTTCATCTTCGGATTCCTCAACAATGTCTTGCGTTATTTCAACTGATGGATCTTTACCTTGAACCTATAAATGGTAAAATATCAATAAATATTGTACTGTGAAACTATATTTAAATATTAGTTTTAATAAAAATCATGCAAAATAAATTCAAGCTTTCTTTTGAGAAACATATATAATTTGTTTATAAATATTATTTTTAATATTATTGACTAGTATTTCAGTTACCTGACAAATTTTCTCCCATATTTCATCACAACCAGCCTTCTCTTGAAAGCTTAATGCCAAATCGAAATTATCGCCCTCTGACCAAACGATCAGTGTGTCCTGTTGTTTTTGGTAGGCGGTGTCGGGTTGAATTTTACTTTCCAAAAGTAAAGAACCATCCGATTCGGCACGCACCAGCAATGAAATACCTTTTGGTGTAAAATTATATGAAAAAATTAATAATATTGATTATATATAATATATACAACACAAAAATACCTTTAAGCCTGTCGACATAATTCGAAGATACATGTCCTGTGCCGCGATCATCCCATTGCCGCTCTGCATTCAAAGCGTACAATTTAACACGTCGGCGGGTATCTGTGGTCATATTTTCCTCCAAATTGTATGCTCTTAATCTTTTAATTTTAACTCTAAGCTTTCTTTTGAATATATTATTACCCACAAATTCCAGAGTACGATCAGCAGCTAACTCGTACTTTTCAGTCTGCAACATAAAAATCTAGAGTTAACAATACCATTAGGCTAATTGTTAGTATTACGCTTAGTACAATACGTACACTTTGAAAGCTGACGATAGTTGTTGCTCTCTCACGCTAATCAACTATCTGATGTTGTGTGTGCGTGCGTATGTGTGTATTACAAACAATAGACAATTAATTAATACACAACTTATTCCTGCAGCTTATGGTGCTGAAATAAACTCAAGGAATTACCCAAGTGAGTTTACTAAAGAAAAATCGAGTATTTGAAAAAACCCAAAAACATTTTTTTTTTTTTTGCTTTTCAAACTTACGGAAGATTACTTTATGGGGCTTTGAATTTAGAATTCAAATTTTACAAATCTTTTTGATGACATTGTTTTTCAACAATTTTCTGGAGTATGGATATACATATGGAAGTAATGTTCGCGCTGCGAAAATAATCTGCAAATAAAGATTGAAGAAAAATTTGCAATCAGCTATAGATTCGTTAATCTCTATTTGTGATAAGTATTTGCTAAAGCTAACGAGACTACAAAATATTTGAAATTTGAATATCAAAATATTAGCATATTCGTAAAAGTGATATAATTTTTTTTAAATAACTGTCTAAATATTTTAATTAAAATTATTAATATTAACAGCAATTTATTATTGAAACATTTTCCACTCCACATTTTCGATACACTGAGAACCAGCATTGACCAAAAATTAATATAAATATTTTCAGAGGTTTTTAAAGCCACTTTGGATAATATTTGTATTAAAAAAATATTTAAAAATATTTAAAAATATATATAAATCTTTATAAACGCATATGTATGTATATAAACAAAGAGAACACATATGTATGTACATATACCAAACATATGTATATTAAAAGAAATAAGATCTCGAAATGTTTATGGCTATTACATCGTTATCGATTAACTATGACGTTCGGGTATTTAGACGATGTTGTGTTCGTAACGAAAAGCTTTACATTACATTCTTATCGGTATCGGCGATCTTTCAACATCAATGTCATTTAGAAGACTTTTGAATTTTATCAAGGATATTTTAAATTATTTGAAAGCATAATAAGTAATTATTTAGTATTGTGACCCATATTATATTTACCACGTGCTATAAGATTAAATACAGAGTACAACGGTGAGTCAAGCGTGGAGAATAAGTACGAATAGTGTGCCTACAAACCGACATTATGCAAGAAAAAGACAAAAAGGCTGAATTAGAAGCTATGATACTCTTCACAAATAAAAAAATTTCCATACAAGTACTTGATTTTGATCGATCAATTTGTCTGGCAGATATATGCTACAGTTCGGAGATGGCACCGTTATTTTGCATAATATGCATGCTAAATTTTGTGAAGATACTACCTCGTTAAATAAGAAAACGTTAAAAAGACTTGATTTTGATCTGAATAATTTGTTTAGAGATTGTACCGTTGCCTTGGACAATCCGTACTGCATTTCGTAAAGATATAATATCTTAGAAGACGCACATGGCTAAATCGACTCAACTCGCACGCTATTCATTTATATATATTTTTTTTATAGGATATCCGAAAAATTCAAGAAGGTACATGCCTCGGAAACAAACAATAACGGTGGAACGATGACTAGCATGATGGACGATGATGTTGCCGAGTTTACAGTCCTTGGCCGAATAAAAATCCACGTCCGTTCCGGTTACGGGTCGGGTGACTGTCGTGGAAACGCAGCACAATTTTATCTTAGCCATTCATATAGGGCTTACGTAATCACAAGTTGCAAAATTTATACATATCAAAAATTCCGTCTCGCCTGTTGTTTACTACTCCGAGAGACCAGTTTTCTGACGTATTTTTTGATAAAAAAAAAATGTTGGCATTTTGTTTTTGTCAAAATTTTTGTTACAAATTCGATATCAACTTTACATTGATGACGCTTCCGACGAAAAAAGGTCAAAGCACTCATAAAGTGGCGGCGCTTTAACGCTGAATAATATACTAAGCCCCCTAATATACGCTGTTGTTGTATTACGCACAATATCACAAGCATATATTTACAACCACACACACGCATATATAGTATATATAACATATAATGGATGAATGAATGAAATTGTGAAAGCAAATAAACAGCGTCATCACGCGCTTAGTTTCTTCGCTGCTATGCTGTGCTGTCCATGCGGCAAAAAGTTAAAATAGTAAATATTTGCATTTTTGTTGTCAATGTGTTTTTGTTGATCTGCATTTCATTTTCAATAGTCAAGTTTTTTTTTTTTTCATTCGTTTTATTCCCATAGGTAAACTATGTTTGTATGTGTGTATATAATTGTAGATGGATGCGAAATGTGTAAATGCAAACACATCGGCAAATTACCAAACCGAACGTAGCGGTATAGTGTGTAGCCAAAGAATAGTTAAAGGCGAAATATATATAAACTTGTGGTGAGATCGGTAAAAGGTAGGTAGGTAGGTATACACACCCGAAAACGAAACTTTCTGTTTACAAACAAACAAAAAAAAGGCAATAAAAATGCAAAAATGGCATGAGTAATGCTCATCTACATGTAAGCTTACAACAAACAACTACGTGTTTGTATTTGAAAATACATATGTATATATGTATGTATGTATGTGCCCCAAACAAAGGCCCACAAGTTGCCGCCATCTAGCGAACGCAAAAAGTTCGTCGTAAACCCCCTATTGCTAAGTGTTTACACTGCCGCCAAACGCAACTAGCTGACGTTGAGACTTACACGAAGTTGTAGTGCTTGAGACTTTGAAATTCCAGCGCTTTTCCGCACACAAAGTGCATGTACATACAAATAACAAGTAGGTATATACGATACCCTAATGAATGTAGATAAATTTAATGGTTTTATGAATACCTGTAAGTTTCGTGTTGTACTGAGGTAGGGAGTGCCGAATAGTAGGATGAACCAAAATAAATACATAAAGAAGAAAGATGTTATAAGCGAGAACATTAGTGCAAACACAGCCACATGTTGCACCAAATCTATGGACCCTATGAAAATATATGCCATTTAAAATGAATGAATACGCATTAGGGTCTATGATATAAGAGAAAGCATATGAAATATATATACTCCCAATAGAGTTTTCCTCCATAATTTTCTCGGCCAAAGCCAGCTAAAGATGTTTTCGTTAACAAAATATAACCAATCTCCTAAAATCAAAGCAGTCACGATATTAGTTTGACTTCAGATTTGTATCTTGTTGGCACAACAATCTTGTAGACCAGTTCTGTATAAGGTTTAAGTATAAAATGTGCAGGGAATATGGCTATAAAACATACAATTTTTGTTCTAACCATAAGCAAACACGTTAAATTCACAGATGCATTTTTTTAAGGCATGAAAGGGTATAAAAAGAACTTGATCTTGATTTTAGTCGATCAGTTTGTGTGGCAGCTATATGCTATAGTAGTCCGATCTGAACAAATTGGTCGAAGATTGTAGTGCTGCTTTGGAAAACAAACTGTGCCAAATTTCGTTAAGGTGCCTTTTCAAATGAGAAAGTTTTCCATAAAAGAACTTGAGTTTGATTTTTGTAGGGGTTATCAAATCACCCGGAGTCGGACCATAGGGAGAAGGGTGTTAGAAGAGTGGGGTTCGTTGGGAATGCAAAGAGGTGGTTACAATCATGCGGGGACTCATTGCACGCTGGACATATGGTTGGTATGTTGGGTTCGATTCTGGATAAGTACGAGTTTAACCTGCTACAATATCCAGAAGGAAGTAGCTCAAGGGTCACTCTAGATTCTCGTGGCAACTCGACTTCTTCGTCTGCATGGGTAGTGGTTTGACACCAAGTGTCAACGCTACGAGGATCGTTCTCTCATAGGGTGGTTTTAGATTTAGGCCATGAACTATCTGGACACTTATGACACTAAGTGCTGTGATGGTTCTGTGCACTTTGCGGAAGCCATGCTAGTGGTCTGCTAGGCTCAGGTGGTGAGTGAACGTCGGGATTAGCAAAGCCTTAAGCGTATTCACTACTGGGGAAAGGAGAGTTATCGGACGAAACGTGGGACTACTCTTCCGACTTTCTACACACCGGGTATTTGAAAGGTGTTGATGACCTTGGTTAGAAAGCTTAGTTTCGGCGAGCTTAGATGCTTTAGCATCAACATGTTTATTCCATCTCGGCCAATGGAGTTGGATGATTTAACCTTGTCGATGACACTCCGGACCTCCTTATGGGTAAAAGTAGGTGGTACGCAGTCTCTTGGCATTTTGCGCTGCCGTCGGGTAACATATCGTTTGGCCTTGTCTGTCGAAGGGTACAGTGTAAACTGCCGCGGGTCCGAGGAGGCATGACCATCGAATTGAATTTCAACCCGATCGGATGTCTCTTCGGATTTGACAAGGCTTTGAGACCGGTGAAGAGGTTACAGAGCTTATGCGAGAATCACAGGGATGGGCATGGCGTAAGGTGTCGCGCTCGTTTGCTTAAAACAGTCGGAATGAAGCGAGCGATAGCAGCTGCCATCACCTTGCGGAATTGACGTTCGCGTCTGCGAGATATAATTTAGAAGGCCTTAAACAATGGTTTTTTTTTTTGTTCAATTACAACTAAAGGGGTTTCCAATAAGAGTGATATGATTTAAAAAAAACACTAACTGTTAAGTAAATTTAAAGTTTTTTTTTGCCTCCACGACTTCTTTTGCAGGAACGAATTCGATGGACTCAATTTTCGAGTACTTTTTCCACTAAATCAAGAATAGGACGTTCAATATTGACTTCTAAAGCTTGAAGAGAGTCTGGTTTATTGCTAAAGACCAATGACTTCAAATAACCCCACAAGAAATAGTAAAATGATGTTAAATCACAACTTTTCCACACAACCATTCAATGTCACAATTTCTTGAAATTATCGAATCTCCAAAGTTTTCTCGCAACAATTCGATTGTTGCACGTGCTCAGATGTTGTCGAATTCAACTTTTTCCAATTGCGGAAAATTGCGGTTATTGATCTATATCGCTTTCCATTGACAGTAACGGTATCACCAGCTTCGTTTCGAAAGAAGTACGGACAGATGATTCCACCAGAGCAAAAACCACACCATACTGTCAATTTAGGGGAATGTAATGGTTGTTCATGAAGAATTTGTGGATTTTCTTTACACCAGAATCGACAATTTTGTTTATTTACCGCACCACTCAGATGAAAGTGATCCTTATCGAAAAATATGACTTTCTTAAAAAAAAAAAATCGTGATCGTTTTCAAGTTGTTCAAAGGCAAAATCAGCAAATTTATCACGCTTACGGTGGTCCAATGGCTTCAGTTCTTGAGTGAGAACAACTTTATATGGATGCAAGCTCAATTCTTTCTCAAAATCCGACAAATTGTGAAGGGAGACAGTCCCAATTCTTGAGAACGTCGGCAAATTGCCGTCTTCAGCAAGACTTGCCTGAACGGCAGCAATATTTTCAATATTTCGAACGGTTCTTCGTCTTATTGAAACTTGAACATTATTTAAAGAAAATGTGCACTCGAAATGTTCAAAAATTCGACGAATAGTGAGCACAGGTGGACGATTATACGACCATAAAATGCGGTCGATGTCGCCATCGATGAGATGATATTGCACTGTGTTGTGCAGTATGAAGGCTAAGCCTCGCTCGCGACCCTTACATATTACGTTAAAACCTTTTTTTTTTGGACCGCAGCTAACGATACGCGTTTCCGGCTAATAAATTCAGTCTCCCAGTCTTACTCTGAAGTCCGTTGTAGTTAAATTGTGAAAGTCGAGTTTGTCGCTGGTGTCTAGGGGTGATCCTGGGAGTGAGGGAGTGGCGTGTAGGTGGTGGTTGTTGCCGCTGTAGAATCCGCAGGGGCGGTTGCCGCATTGTGGTGTTGTTTGGCGACGCCACTATAGAGTATTGCGTGGGCAGACTGCTGAAGGGCTTGAATCGGTAAGTTGTAGGTTTTCAAAAAAACAAAGAACTAATTCGCGTATATAGACGACGGACATGGCTAAATCGGCTCATTACGCTGATCAATTATATATGTATATATGTAGATATATGCTTTGTGGGGTCTCCGATGTTTTCATCAAACTTCGTGGCAAACGTAATATACCTTGTGCAGGATATAAGAAGGCATTGAAATTGAAAAATATTTCGAATAATCCATGGAATCATATTATTCAAGAACATACGAACCCTAAGGAAAATACGAGAATTATAAAAAAAGAATTTAATATAGACCTACATGCATACATATATGTATAGCTAAAAATATGCATATACTGAACGTGATACCCCGCACTCCACATGTCTAAACATACTCGAGCATACGTAAAATGTATGCGCCAACGAAGTCAGTTCGGCAACGAACATACGAACAAAATAACCAATAAAACAAAAACAAAAAAATATTTTACTAAACAAAATATTAAGGTATGTAGACATAAACACATACATGTATATATATACAAACACACTATTTATGTACTAAGTGAACGTCAGTCACACAACTTTCATAACAGACCTTGCGACGGTCACCATTGATGATGGCGTCTTGACTTATCAGCTGAATATTCATTGGAAGCGATTGATTGTGCAAGTCCAGAATAATATATATTTATATAGGTGTATGTAAGTGCACACATAGACGTCTGTTTACTTTCAAGCGCACAAATCTTCTCACAAAAAATGTTATGCGGAATTAATATGAAGTCTCTTGGTATAAGCATTAATACAAGTACCTATGTACCTTGCAAAAACACAATAAGTTAAAACTTTAAGGAAAACCTGTTTAGAAACAATGCCGGCAATTCGCACACAGTGTATATGTATTAATAATCACAGCAGTGGAATCATAAAGTCATATTCATATGAGCGAAAAAGCTGCTGGCATCACTAACTCATAAAATTTGGTGCTCTCCATCAAGTTAGGCACACCGATTATTGACTGAAGCTCTTTGGCAAATCAGTTTGTGATAATAATGAATATGTTTAAATATTAATAATTGTAATTTACGCATTCGTTGTTAATTACATTTTTGAATCTACTGACGTCTTTATATATTTGACAAGCTAAAACCTTTCTGACTTAGAGCAAAACATATCAACGATAGTGTAAACACAAAATTATATACAATATAAGAAAGTGATAATGTTTGTTTTCCAGGTTATTTTCCGGACCAATAGATGGAGCCATGATATGTGAAATTATGTAAGATAATTTAATTTAACAGTTCGAAATGTTGGAGATTACGATGGCTAAGCTTAAAGTTCTCTTCCATAAATATCACCGGTATTCAAATGTGACCTTACTGATAATCAGACATAAATATCCAATAATTGTATTTGTTACTGTAATGGGAAATATTAATGCTAGGGGACAATACTAGCGTGGATGCAAAAATCAGACTTTTTAATACCTGACAAATGAAGAAGTTAGTAGTGCTGCAAACCTGCTTAAGATACATATACAGGGCTACAATGAACGGTAGTATTGGTAGTACAAATGTACGTATATGTTTACATTTATACCAAAGGTAAATATACGCTTATATTTTAGATTATTTTTCTCCAATTTTAGATATTGTCCATACCGAGATATAAGCATGAAGTACTCATACTTTTAATCATGATGTAAACGCGCTCGCCAAAGGTGGTAAGATGTAGTGGTACTATATTTTAATTTTTTTCCCTTTTTGCTCTTATTGACTTATATTATTATTTCAGCTCAAATAAATTAATCTACTTATCACATTTACACTCATATTTTATATTAAATGCATGGTATTTGCAAATAAATTGCATCGACATTTTTATATAAAATACATGAGACGAAAATCCAGTGAGAGCAATTTATAAAATAATGGATACACACACGCTATATGCATCAACTCACCACGAAAGTAAGCAAGCGGCACAAGAAAATTCACCATTAAACATGAATAGCTGCATCAACACAAGAGACTTTTGGGTGAAAAAGTTAAAAACGATGATGAAAATAAACGAAAACACGAGAAACGACCAATAATCTGGTCAAAATACATATTTACCTAAACAAAAACTAAACCATTCATACACTTTCTTAAATTATACAAGAAAAACGAAACGATGAAACAACTTGATTATAAAAACAAATTTGAAAAGAACCAAAACAAATTGTATAATATTTACAAATGTCCTTCGAGTATAGAAAACATTAATGAATTAAGCGCAACAAACAATTACATGTGCGCATTTTGTCGACAAGGGGGGCGAAAGACGACAATGTTGGTTGATAGATGACATCGTCCGACGAGCTGTTACGGCTGCAGTTGTGACGCGCTAACGTGTTGTACACACACGAGAGTATACGAAAGAAACACCTCAAAACAAAAAAAAATTATGGATTGAGGTGGGCGCATTGTGGTGGGGCGTTTTGCGGCAAATAATGCTGAAGTAGCGGGCGGTTCTATTCTGCATATAATTTCACATATCAAACACTTCGCACTTCATGCCGCGACTCCATATTGACACAATTCCTCCACCTCACCTCATAATTAACAAAATTTCCAAATTATAAGAAAAATATATGTATATATGCGTTTACGATTTGTGAGATTTTATATCCACGACTTATAAAATATTAACTTAATTGTATTTTCGTACTCGCAGCTACCGCAAGTGATGAAATGAAATCAGCAAAATCCTAAAGATCTCCACCGCGATGTCTTTATGTTCTTTGCTATATATGCAATTGCTATATCTTCACGTTTTTCGCGCTGGCCACACTATTTCACTTTTTCATTCCTTTCTGATTCAATTCAGTTTATATATATATATTTTAATCGTAATTAATGCTCGCCTGATTTCAATTATATTGTATTCGTCTCTTTAGCACTTCAACTTGCGTTTACGCATATTTCTTATTGTTTCACACGCGTATACAATTTGATAAAATCACTAGCGACTTTTTCTTTATTTTCTTAGCCCTCACAATTTACAAAATCACATAAAAATTCGCAGCTTTTACACTCGAGCCGTCGTCGTCTCATCGGTCGCTAAAAATTTGTTGCTTCGATTCCAACTGTTCCGATCGAACGAATACATTGCTTGTATGTGTGTGTTCCGATATTCGTCATTCGAAAATGGCGGCGCCAAGCACAGTGTTGCAAAGTTGCAAGCAAGTCATAATGAGAAAAATAAAATAACCACAATTGGTTTATAGAATACTCATCTGTGCTCACTATTATAATTATAATTATTTTTCTACAGTAACTTACATTTACTAATTTTAATAGGATAGTTATACATATAAGTAACTTTAATGCAATTTCACGCATATCAGATATTTTTGTTGGTGCAATTGACTTATCAGTAAATCACAAGCCGTGAGATGTCGCACTAGCCAGTAACATATTCAAAAACAGTAAACAAATTTTGGAAAATACACTTTAAAATTTCTAGAAGCAATTTGACGAATGACTAACTATCATAATTTTTTTTATAATATTCATCTTTTATCCCAAAATAAAATATAAAAACTTTCGAAGCGGTACAACAATCAGATATTTTCATAAAAGTCCGCCAGGCGATGGGCATCATTCCCATTACACTGTTTATTTCCTTTTCGTCAATATTTACGAATATTCGTGTGTATACAAGAAAGGAATGACCATACTTAAGGAAAACAATATAAGAAAAGAAACAATGCGTTTCGCCAATTTAGACAAAAAAAATTATTTTCTATGTTATACTTACAAATTTTGTTCAAGAGTTCAAGAATACAATTCCATTGACCTAAAAATTTTAACAAATTTAAACTACAGTACATACATAAACAAGATCATGTTAAATATTTATTTTGATTATGCAACTTTAAACAATTTATAGAACCTGCATGTACGAAACACTGACACTTTACTTGCGAATAAGAAGCATTAAATAAACGTCAAAAAAGTTTTGACAACCGAAGTAATAAATGGGTAAAGTAAAACAATAGCCAAAGCGAATTTACAAATAGTATAAATAAAATTGTATGAATTCGCTTTTACAATCATTCTTTGAGGATCAAAAAGTGAATAGTCCAATGCCTTCTCCATCTCCAGAGTGCACAACGCAAACTTATACATACCACAGCCTAAGCCAACGGTACAGTGGCAATAAATCACCAGATCTTCAGCTCACCGTGCAAGAATATGGCAAAGATTGTATTGAGCTAAAACTAACCAATTTACAATATGCCTTACAAAGATGCCAAAAAATTAAACATATATGTCTGAGTATTATTATTTATTTTGTTTATATCATATTGATATCGAGAAACGTGACACTTCTAAAAGGACACATTTTATGTGATCTCAGTTGCCTCTTGTGGTTACTATATCGGATATTCAACTTAATGTCATTAATTGAAACTGGTACTTTTTTATTATACACATATGTAAAATGTTTTCTTTAATGACTTGTATTTCAGAAAAAGTTATAATTTGCTTGGATCTTGCACTTCAATGCCATACGGTACGGTTTCTAAGGCGAACTTCAAATTTATTCATTCCAGTAAACAATATTTATGATATAGTAATAAATGAAGTTATCGAAGATGTATGTAAACAAATTACTTGTTTTCCAGTAGAACTAATTTAGTTATTTTTATTTTAGCTGGATGTACATTATATACTAATAATTCGAACAAAGGGAAGCCTTTTCCAGAAGAAGCCGATAGTTACACTTTTTAATGTAATTTTTTATGTGTAGTTTTAATTCTATTAAAATTTTTATTTTTATGTAGACTTTGCAGCCATCCTTCGAGTGCTTGCAGATGACCTATAGATGTCTCAATAAAATTTTTCGCAAATCGAATCGGATGACATAAATATAAGCTATAGCAGATCTAATCCAATCGAAGTTGTTCTTATGTCTTCCACTAGTGCATCTATCTGAAAAGGAACTGCAATAAATTAAGGATATTCATTGAAAATATAATATATTGCCTTTGGTGTTAAATCCTCATTTTCGGTTAAAACTGGTGGTACAGTTTTTGGATCAGGCATTTTTAATTCTTTATCCGCAATATTCATTTCTACTTTTACCTAGAATTAGTTTGTATCAATATTCGATATTTTATTCACTATATAAGTAGTTACAAAGTTCTCAAGTTCCGCCTTGCATGTCTGTTTCATTAGTGTGCGGTAAAGTTTCATATTATTGCGGTAAGCAATGGTTTCTTCCTGCAAAGGCCGCAGATGAAATACTTGTTGTAGTCGTTCGTCTAAAAAAAATAATAATTAAATTTTTTAACACTTAAAAATTAGAATTAAATAAACAACAATTCAATAATTTTACCCATTTAAGTAGCGGTTAAATTTTATTGTATTTCAATTCGAATAACGCAATCTATTTTGACATTTTCTTTTTTTATGAATATTCGTTTTTCTACAGAGATGACAAAACAAAATCAACGGCGTTTGACAATCTAGAGTCAAGCCCATTATATAATCTCCACACTACTGAACACTTTCAATAGAATGACTTTCATATATGAGTTTAGATACAGCTAACTTATTGCGAACAATAACTTTCCAAACTATTACCTATCATTCATTGTTATTCAAATACTAACTCCATAACGCCTGATATCAAAAGCAATTTTATTTATAATTAACAGCTAACTTATTGCGAATAATGTCTTTCTAAACTATATAATACTTATCAATCAATATTATTAAAATACTAAATCCATAACGCTTGAAAGCAATTTATCGCCAACGATTTCACTTCACCTAGTGTATCCCAAAATGGTTAAAGCCGATTTCACGTACCTAATTAATAGTTTGGTTTTAGTTGTTGATTTAGTTGATTGCACATAATAAAATGAGTAAAAATCACTAAAATAAGGTTTATCCAATTCTATAAAACGATAACATAGTTATAAAGGGGGGAAAATACAAACGGTTATTACGTGATAGCTCCCAGATGGCATACCATAGGGCCATCTTTGCTTAATGATGTTAATTAACAAATCATGAAATATTTTATATTTGGATGTGCAATTAGAATTTTATTTTTCAAAATATATTTAATTATACTGTTAGAAATTTTATTTTAAATATATTGTACATAATTATGATGTGCACAACGTTCTTCATAAAAAAAATTGTCACAGGTGGCAATAATAATCTCTCGTTATTTTTTTCTTGTTCTTCTTGTCTAAAACGGACGAGTGGTTCCTCGTGCCTGTCGTTCGTTCGTGACGGAACGATACCGAAAACGATATCGCTGCAGCAGAAAATTGCTAAAAATTGCTAGAAAATCGCAACGGTAAATCATAAAACTATTGAAAAACTATATTTAAAGTGGCAGAGTGTTATTAGATCATAATTTCAGTGCGGTAAATAAAAGATATAATCATAAAATTGCGTTTGAAAAGTTTGCCTTTCACGAGAAAAAATTTTCATTACACACTTGGCTTATGTGAAATACGTGTGCATGAGAGTGTATAGGGAGCAATGAGTCGATGTGAGTGCGGCTCCGCTGGCTATTCGTTTTCTACTTTGTGACCATTTTTCTTTAACTTGTGCTTTGTGTTTTGCTTCCGAGAAGTCTCGAAAAATGTGAATCGTTCGCTCGGTAGGTGCCTATGGCTCGTCCATTCGGCTGGTTGATCATTGTTCGGTTGTCGTGTGAAATGTAAATTGAAGTCTTTAATATTTCAAATGTTTAACTTTTGTTAGATAATTTTCATGGAGGATGAAAGCTTTGGAAAAAGTAGTATACTTTTGCTTATATATAGTTGTCATCTGAAATATATATAACTACCTAATAAAATTGAGTGACAAGTCGGAAAAAGGCCATGATGAATACATTTGTTTAGATTTTTTGTAGTTATTTCGCAATTCAAAGAATGCCATTGTATATGACAATATTAAGAAGCATTCTTAAAATGTTGTCGAAAAGAAGTAAAGTCCAAAGTTTTTTTTAAGCCATACAATAAGAATTACAATCTCAATATACATATATATTAGTGTTTGCCATGATACTGTGTAAACGCCCCTGCTTCGTTGTTTGGAAAACGTAGTTTTTTCCTCTTGGATTGAATTCTGCTTCGAGGAATTTCTTTTAGCGAAAAACGAATATTCGCCATTTAGAGGATAGTCGGAAAAACGGAAAATTTAAAAGTGCAAGACGGAAGGTAGAATAGTCTATAAAATAAAATGAGAAAGTAACGAAATGGCGATGATAACTAACGTTGCCACTTTGTAAAAATTGTAAGCTGGTAGGAGTATTGTGTATGGCGAGTATTGTACTGCAAATGCAAACAATACAGACATTCTTATATTTTGTTTTTTACCTAGAGCAAGTAGTAAGAGAAATATTTTTCACCTGATAAGTGAGTCTCCTAAATTCTTATCTTTAATAATATTCTTTTACGCAGAGTTGTATTTGTAAAGATACTTGTCCGCTTTGTAGCAACTCTGGTGGCAACACTGTAAACACGTTTAGGGCTGGAATAAAGGGAACAAACAACGAATAGAATAAACCGACCTAAAGTCGCTCTACTCCGCTTTTCTTTCTTTTCATTGCACTGCTCTGTAATAGCACTCAAAGTACGTATTTCCCATCAGTTTAAAAAATGTTACAGTTTACATTAAGAAAATATATAATATATGTATGTACATAATTTAAGTGTATCGTTTCTATATTGTTAGAAAATCTTTAATATAATAGATCTAAGTGGAACAATAACATCTAAAACGAATCATAAAGAAGTGTTGTTTAAATTTATAACAGAACAAAGTGAAATAATAATATTCACGCTTATACGCATAGTGTGGTGAAAATCTAAAAAAAAAACGGTGGAAAATGAATAATGATGATAAAAGTAACGACTTAAGTGTGTGTTCTACTGCTATAACAACTACAACGTCGGCACCAACGTCAGTGTCTAATATAAATAATACAACAACAACACCCGCATCGGCAACAACATCAGCAGTTACAGTGGCTTCAACAATTAAAGCTCAAAAGTCTACTGCCAGCAAATTGAAGCAGTCAGCGAACCTGCAATCAATAAAGAAAGCAGTTAACGTCAACAACAACAACAATAAAAGCAATACCAATAGTCTTAAATTAGCAGCTGTAGCAGCCGCCGCTGTTACATCTGGAACTACCACAACCAACATCTCCTTAAAAAAGTTAGCAAGGAATGCAACACAACAAGGTGGAGGAAACAAAAAAATTTTGACCACCAACCCCATCAACACTGACAGTTGTAGCGAAAGCATAACTGCAGTTGTGCCAGAAGCAGGCAGCAAAAAAACGGCTAACAACAATAATAACAGTAAAATTAATACAACTAAATCAATTATAAGCAACAATAATAATTTTTTTGCTTCCGTAGTTCCCGCAGCCGCCGCCATTAATGGCAATAGCAGTACTAACATCAATATAAACAACAACAATAAAATGTCTAAAATTGCAGCCGCCAAAGTTGCCGCATCCAGTGCCAATACTAATGCAAACACCATTGTGGCCGATTGCGTTAGTGGTACAACAACTGATCCAGCGTCAATAGTCACAAGTACGGGAGTTGGTACTGATAGTGTTCCTGGATCTAATAATAACACCGTCACCTCTAATCCGTCATCTATTCCTGCAATAGTTTCGAACGCACCTGCCAATACAACAACGTCCTTTAATCCAGCCGGCGGCAGTAGCAACGGTAAAACATTAGGATCCACAAATAAAAAATCCGCTAACAATGTTTCAACCGTGGCTGCTTCCACAACTGCATCTGCAAAGGCAAAAATTTACCAAATAAAAACCAATCCCCTGTCATTACTAGTGAATACAACGCAGAATGCCACAGCTCCCATAAAAAATAATGGTAGCAATGGCGGAAACGGGAGTACCAGCAATAACAATACTGGAACATCTTCACGTGTTGGAGCAGTAGCAGCTATTAAGCAAAAACTGAAAGCTTCAGCTGCTGATGCTGCTGCAGCTGTTGGTATACCCACCGTCATAGCTGGAAATTCTCGTTCCGCCTCATCGTCAACATCGTCCAATTTATCATTGGCCTCGTCTGACACACGTCATAAGCGACCCAGCGAAAATTCGGATACAGACACGGAACTATCCCGCCAACCACCAGACCTATCCGAATCTGATGAAGAGTCAGTTTCAGAGTCGGTAAGTTTCTAAGACACGTCCACTCAATAATTTTCACTAAATTCATGCTCATATTTCTAAATAAATCTGCATATTTCAACGATAAATTACAATTATTATTACAACCAAAAAAATCGTTGATGATGATAATGTATTAAATTTTGATTTGATATTGTTAAAGTAGAAAATGTTGTCAATTGATTATAATGTGTTATATAAAAACTAAAGTAGATTTTCTCATTTATAACTTGAATAAGGTGATGGATTTAACAACATAGGTTGCCGCAGTTGGTAAAAGTGCAGTAATCTGCCCTATATATGGTATATATATAGATATATATATATATATATATGTATATAACCATATGTTTGTGTTATCTGTGCCATCTATTATTTATTTAACGTAGATCTCCATTTTGTCCCTCAACCTAGCTTCTATAAATCGATTTTCGTTTCGTTTACTTTCAACATCATCATCATCATATTACTCATCTCTGGCAGAGCGTGTGTGCCGTTTATTGGGTGTATATTGCAGTACCTGAAAAGTTAAATACAAAAGTATAGGGACATGTGCATAAGTGTTCCCACAAAAGAAGTAAGGTCAGTGTTATTCAGAGCCAACGAAAACACCATGGCATATTTAAAATATGACTAATCCCATTCGTTTGGTGATTACAGTTGTCGATTTTTAACAATTTAATTTGCTCAGTTTCTTTGTTTTTTTATTCATAAAAAAAGTATTAATTGCTGTAAAAAAGGAATTGTTATAATTTACTCACCATGTGTGTACCATCTCCATAACCTTTGGACCTTTTCAAAATACATCTGTATGTATTTTATTACAAATGTGTTTTGTTTAAAAATAACAGGGACATTTCTCCGGTCCGGTCGTCTCATATACTAGGAGGTTGATAATATTCTAGGTCGTACCAAGTAAAACAATTGAAATAACTTCAAGTTTAAGTAATCAATTTTATTATGTATAATTTTAGTTTTAGCAGTTCTCTCTGAAAATCCACTGTGATTGAGGTCAATGATTCGTACAAAAACGCCACAACGCTCACCGCTGTTGTCATAATAATTTCTTGATGCATATATGTATGTAATTATAACCTCGTACAACCAAAATGACTGACTCTATGATCTCTAAGTTTAATATTTGTACAAATAAGTATCGTTTTTGTGTAAATAGATACATTTCTATGTACGTATGTATGTGTGCATGTAAATATATGTTTGTATACACTATGTAGGTTCCTGTACAACAAAAACAGTGCAGTGTCTAGTCGCCCTTATTGTGGTTATTGATCATAGCTCTTTTCATCCGTTGCTGTTGTTGCTATTATCGTCATATTGCCATTATCATCTTTAATAATTATGCTATTTTTTTGTTGGTTGGTTTTTCCTTCCTCTTCGTAGCGACATTCCCGCAGCGTATTTTATTATTTTAGCTATCGTCATCATTCTTTTCGTTAGATCGGAATTGCAAATACATACATACATATATAGCAAAATATGTTTGTATGTAATGCCGTCGTCGCTGTTTCTGTTGTCATTGTTTTGAAGTCGTCGTCTCCGCTGCTATAAATTACAATACATATGAGTATAAATTAATATATCAAATGATTTTTTTTTACCTACCTTCAATTGTATGTACTGCATAAAATGTATATATGTATATACATATTTGCGTTTTATTTCTTTAACTGTGATGTGTGCTTTTCGCTGCTTTGGTAGCATTGCCATCGTTTCCTTCGCTTTTTCATCATTGTTGCAAACCAAAAACACGTTGCTTAAATTCACTTTTCCACATTTTTGCCCCTGCGGGCAGCGAGTAAATACTGATTGCGTGTACAGAGAGAAAAAATTTGATTGTACATGTATTGTTGATTAGTACTGATTTTTGGTTCGTTTCGACTTTGTTTTTTTAGTCAAATGGTCGTTCAGTCGGTCGGTCGTTCGTACGGTCGGCGTGTTGAAGATTTATTATTTGTTTGACTTTGTGTTGGTAAAATGTTGGATCAGCTTGAGTGAGTGTATGTGCATACATAAATCCATTATCAATTCGGTTATCATATTTTTAGGCTTGAAATATTTGAAATGTTGAAGATAAATTTTTTGTTTAATTTATAATTCCATGGGAATATCTCTATCCAATTTAGTTGCGATCATTATCGTATACACTTCTCTACGTTAAAAATACATATGTATATTTCATAATTCATATATATTTTCTTCAGCTAATAGTTGGGAATTTTGAGTTACTAAGATCGATACGGATCCGATTTTTTTATGGACATTTACATTTTTAAATCAATCACTCGAATACCTAATCATATACTCTATTCAGGCAAACATATGTACATGTATGTATGTTTGTATGTATAATTTTACATAATTCATTTATATTTTCTTCAGCTAATTGGGGAACTCGTAATTTTGAGGACGTAAGGTTGAGAATTTGTTGTTACAAACTTTCGTTCCAAAGATCAATACTTATCTAATGGATAGTGGTAAATAATTAGTTAGCATTTTTGTCCAAAATCTGTGAAGTCCGAAATTTGGATACATATCAACTTGCAATTGCCGTAATAATCAATAAAGCATAATAATACGCGGGAGTAGTGCCATATTGTTTTTTGTTTGATTCAAAGGCATGAAATGATAAGTGACCAACTACTTTCTAGTTAATTATTGTAATAATCGGTTAGCAGCTGAATAAAGTTTGCAATTCATATGTAAACAATACATGTACAAATGCAATATTAATTTTATTTATACGTAAGCCGCCTTTTTTTATTAATATTACTACACATCTTTTACGCACACAATGTATATATGTACATTTATCGATATGCATATGTATAATCAAAACATTGAAACAGCTTACTGATTTACAAACACTAAAACTTGTGGAAATGTCAAAAGAGCAAAGATGTAAATTAGTAAACAGAAAGTTGGGTAAATGCACTTTCATACGTACAGCATTGCCGTTATAGTGAAATTTCTTTGGAAATTGATTTTTTCTCTTGTTTGAAGGTTAAATACCAGAAAAACGTTCAAACCAATTGCTATACCTAGTATCAGTGCTCAACAATATACATATGTATGTGCATGCACATGTACATATGGGGTCATGAGTTGCTATAAAACATAATTGCTATTTACATACATACATACGTATGCATGTATCTACTACATACATGAGTATTTAACAAAATGTTTAACCTTTGCTCACAATGTCCATATGTGCAAAGTATGAAGTTCCGGCAATGATTTTCAAAGCAGCTGAGAAGTATTGAGTGAGCTGTGAGCTTCGCCTTAATTTGTTGCTGATGATTCATACAATTCTTTAAATTCTCCAACCAACTGACAATGGCTAACAAACATGCTGTCAACCATCAACCGTCACAGACAGACCAACGAACTCCCAAATAAACCAATTTCCGAAAGAAAACGAATGAATGGTCTTTCGAGTTAATTTCATTTAAACATTTTTGTTTGTTTTATTTACTTCTTTTTTGGGCTTGGTACAAGGCACCAAAGTGTATAAAATAGAATACAAGAAATGTAAAATAACAGCATAATGTCAAATATGCGAAGCGTGTGATAAATGAAAAGCAACAAGAATTAATATCGAAATCAGGCAAAATAGTCATAAATAAAGTGGGGAAGCATATCTATAAATATGTACATATGTTATTAAAAGAGAAATTGGCAAAGAAACGAGTGCGCAAAGCAGAAACCAATAATCGCTGCACAACTCATTCCATTCCATTTTCAATCCATTCCGGTCCATAGCAAAGTAAATGTGTCGGCTTTGCATCTTTAGCTGATGTCGCTGTCGTAGTCGGCGGCGATGGTGACTGCTAACGCCAGCGTCATCATCATTATCATCGGCGCTGTAGTGTTTGCGCTGGTCACGTTACTTTATGAATTCGTGCACATATTTTTTTCAGTGTAATTTTCGTTGTGTGTCTGTAACTGCTAATTGCATTCGTAAAAATACTGTGTGACTCTTTGATCAAACAAAGGCAATGTACGAAGTCTTTAAAATGGTGGACCGTACAAAACGGGAACGGATGCAGAACTGACGAGGTGAACGTTTATGTTCCCTCCACAAATAATACTAATAAAGTAATAAATAAAAAAAAGATAAAATATAATGCAGGATATTTGCTAGGTTAGGTTTCGTAACAGTTATAATAATTTAATGAAGACTTCTATTGCTCATAGCACTAGCACCCAGCAGAATTTTGGAATTTATAAACATGCTGGGTCTAGATGATACCATATGACTTAGGGGAGGGCACAATAGACCATAGGTCGCGGTGTAACCTTAATCTATCTATGGTAAATGTATAAAGGTCCCCCAACGAAGGAAGCCGTGAAAATTATAATTTTTTTAAATGGTCTTATTTCGACACGAAGATTTCAGATTCGTTCGCAGAAAGTCGATTTTTTCAATAAAATTTTTTTTTTTATATATATATAAATTTTTTGAAAACCAAAATAATAATTTTTGTAGCGCGGAAAGAAGTTCGGATTTTTTAATATTCACGTCAAAATAAGACGATTTAAAAAAAATTAATTTTTGAGGCCTTCCTTGTTGGGGGACCTAAACTATACATATACCGACTTTCTTTTTTTTTTTTTTTTTTGGCAGTTTTTTACATTTCCAACCACATGGCTGTAAATTGTAATAAAGACGCCACCTACAACAATTTAATTACTTCGACGTTTTGATAGTAGAAAAATTTACTTTTCTATCAATTCCATTCACTTCTATAATCATTTTCATGACTTTGACTACAAACATGCCATCATACATGTACATGTGTATGTGTATGTATGCATATCATCATCAACATTTCCAAATCTAACTTGCTTGTGGGCAATGGTATGCGGTAGTAATTTACCGCTACCTATTTTTCTTCGATCGATCTGCATAACTTATCCCCATTTGTTTCTTTTAATTTTTGTTGATTTATTACTTTCATTCTTCTTTTTGTAGATCCTTTTGGCATGCTTGTGTCTAAGGCCAGATCTTCTGGTAAGTTTCGCGTTTTTTGCATTTTTAACCTAAAACTACATTTGCAACCAAGAATTGTACAATTTTCTGTTAAGACAATGGTTGCATAACAAAGCTTAATATCCTAATCAAACGCCTAGGCACATTAATCGGTTTTTCTTAGTAAATATTGACTAAACTATAGATTCTATTAACATCTCCATATATAGGTATACATATTGAGAACGCCAACACGCCATTACCACTCTTTGTGGTACACATTGTCTTATTAACAGTGGACATCGGCAGGAATAACGCCTAGAAGATTTTCATGTTGGTGGCCAAAGACACAAGGATGCGCGCGTCCACTCGTTATGTTCAACATGCAATAACTTTTACATTAATCAAAATCATTATTTTGCTTTAATTTTTTTTTTTTTAATTTTTTTTACTTTTGTAAAGTAGAAAATACTTACCGCAATAATTCCTTAGTGCTTGTGATTCGTTCTTTCTAAAACGAATTCTTTAGAATTTGAAAATGAGTAATATATTTTGTTTTAATATTATTTTAAGGATGACATCCCAGAATCTGATGCTGATAGTTGTGGGCATGAAGAGGATAACGAATCTGAGGAAGACAACGAGGATGAAGATGATGATGAGGAAGAGGGCGAAGAGGATGAAGAAGAAGACGAGGATCCGCCAAATGAAGTGAGTGGCAATTTCTCGGTTGGCTCTACAGAGGAAGAGGAAGATGAAGACGAAGAAATTCAGGATCCGAATGAAGCGACTGGCGACTTTTTGCTGGAAGGTAATAACTGTGCACACTATGAAGGTAAACCGAATAGAAATTGACCGATAATTTGTCCATATATATATATATTGTTTTGAAATATATTAGGTGAGAAGCCACCTGTGTTACGTCATGCCACCCATGCCATCGATGAGACTAAACAGGCTTTGACTAAAATGCGAAGCGGCAACACACCACGCGAAAAAACGTATGTTTAATTTTCTTAACCATAAAAATCTTTAAAAAAAAATCATACATATATCTTTTGCAGTATTTTCTCTCAAACTCTTATTGCCGCCTGCACTGACAACGACGTTCCGACCGTTCGCCGATTGCTAAGTAAAAATACTATGAGCATTAGCGAATCCACTGATGACGGCGAATCCTTACTATCGATGGCCTGCTCAGCTGGTTATTACGAGCTGGCGCAAGTGCTACTCGCTATGCAGGCAGCCCAAGTAGAAGACAAGGGCCAAAAGGATTGCACACCTTTAATGGAGGCAGCCTCCGCTGGTCATGTAGAAATCGTCAAACTACTGATAAGTCACAATGCTGATGTTAACGCCCATTGCGCCACTGGAAATACACCGTTAATGTTCGCTTGTGCTGGTGGCCATGTAGAAGTAGTTAAAGAGCTACTAAAGCATGGTGCGAATGTCGAGGAACAAAACGAAAATGGGCATACACCACTAATGGAAGCAGCATCAGCCGGTCATGTCGAGGTGGCTAAGGTAAGAGTCAAAATCAAAGCGACAACACATAATTCATGCATCGAACAAATGATGATAATCCGGGATTTGAGACAAGTTATCAATGCCTTATCACTGACCATTTCTCGTTTGAGATTGAGTTACTTATTAAAAATCAGAATTGTGTTCAGTGCAATGGCAGTCAATGAACTATTTTGATCTTATTTGATGTTAGATAAAATCATATTTGTAATGACTAATTTCATTTGTCAAAACTTTAACAAGACCAAAAAAATTGTATTATTTATAGGTACTTTTGGATCATGGTGCTGGTATAAATACACACTCCAACGAATTCAAAGAAAGCGCACTAACGTTGGCTTGTTACAAAGGTCACCTGAATATGGTGCGTTTTCTATTACAAGCCGGCGCCGATCAGGAACACAAGACCGACGAAATGCACACCGCTCTTATGGAAGCATCAATGGATGGTCATGTCGAAGTGGCGCGTCTGCTTTTGGATTCGGGAGCCCAAGTGAATATGCCAACCGATTCGTTTGAGTCCCCACTGACTTTAGCTGCCTGTGGCGGTCACGTCGAATTGGCCACTTTACTAATCGAGCGTGGCGCTAACATTGAGGAGGTAAACGACGAAGGCTATACACCACTTATGGAGGCTGCACGAGAGGGACACGAAGATATGGTTGCACTGCTCTTAAGCAAAGGCGCAGAGATAAATGCCACCACAGAGGAGACTCAAGAGACCGCACTTACATTAGCTTGTTGTGGAGGCTTCAGTGAGGTTGTCGAATTTCTGATTAAAGAAGGCGCCAACATTGAACTGGGTGCTTCCACTCCGCTAATGGAGGCAGCGCAAGAGGGTCACACCGATTTGGTACGCTATCTACTGCAGAATAAGGCTAATGTTCATGCAGTCACACAGACAGGTGACACGGCACTAACACATGCCTGCGAAAATGGACACACAGACGCAGCCGAGGTGTTACTAAGCTATGGCGCCGAACTGGAACATGAATCCGAAGGTGGTCGTACTCCGCTAATGAAGGCAAGTCGTGCCGGTCACTTATGCACTGTAAAATACCTTATACAAAAAGGCGCTGATGTCAATAAGCCGAGCAGTAGCAACGACCACACACCACTCTCCTTAGCCTGTGCGGGTGGCCATCAGGCTGTAGTCGAGTTATTGCTGAAGAGTGGCGCTGATCCATTTCATAAGTTAAAAGACAACAGCACCATGTTGATTGAGGCAGCTAAAGGTGGACATACGCGCTGCGTGGAATTACTCTTCAAATATCCGTTGTTCGTGCAAAATCACCAAAACGAACTGCAATCGGCAGCAGCAGCTGCAGCCGCCGCGGCCAATGCTGCCACTGCCGCCGGTCCAGTGAATATAAATAACACCTTACGTTTTGTAAATCCGCAACAACACAAACAATTGCAACAACAGTTGCAGCAGTTGAGTGCCCCGCCCGGTTTACAAGTGTCGGAAGCGATGCGTGTTTCGAACCAACAACAGCAGTTTCATCAACAACAATTCAGCGCCAACACAATGACCACCACCAACGGCACGAATAACAACAATGTTGTCACAGCTGTCGCCTACACCGAAGAACATTTGCCATTAACTTCAGCCGGTGACGCCAATAGCGAGGAGTTCGCTGCCATCGATATCAACTCGTTAAGCGCACAGCAGCAGGAGGCTTTAATTGCTAAGTCGCGTCTTTTTCACTTGCAAACCGGTTTCGAACAGGGCCTCACATTGGGCCGTGAGCAACTCTCACAACCACAACAACAACAGCAGCAGCAACAACAACAACAACAGCAACCACCTCTACCCGGTCACAGTAATAATGCACAGCGTAAACATTTCGAACTGGACATGACGCACATAAATGCTTTGACACCACCACAAAAGGCACCGCCAGCTCCACCAGTGGGTGGTGTAGTCACACAACAACAATCGCTCCAACAACAACAATTCCAATTGCAACCACAGTCGCAGCAGCATTCAGTACAGCCCACAATGAAATCGAAGAGTAGCAATGCATCGCGTAAAAATCGCCAGCCACCAGCGCCTTTCGAGCTAAACCTACCATCGCCCAATTTGGCTAATATCGCACTTGAACAGCAGCAACACCAACTGCAGCTAGAGCAAATGCAGCAGCAGGAACAACAACCGGACGAGGTGCGCTCGCAACCACTGGGTGATGACGGAAGCGGTGGATCCATTGTAGCAGTTACAGGTGAAGCAGATGGACAACAACAACAAAACCGTTGCTTTATGCGTCGTTGCTTCTTCAAACCCGAATTCCACAAGGTAGTACTTGAAATGAAATATAAACGAAAATCTTATTGAAAATATTTTTCGCAAACCTTATAGATTGGTATTGAAAACAAATCGGTTGTAACGGCAAATGCATTGCCACCTGTTAATTATATGGACTTGACTGGTGTTGAGGGTGTTGAGGCCATGGCTAGTAATGCTGTTTCGGGTAAGTTAACTCATACACGCTGCATTATTTGAACTTGATTGTATTTATGTAATTTATATATATTTCACTAATACAAATGTGCAGGTGTTAGTGCTTTGGGCGATAACGAAATGACTTCGATTTTCCTAACTGGCAATGCAGGCAACGGCGGCCAA